GTTGAATCTTTCTATAACTGAAGATTTTTCTTCGTTTTGTGTGCTGTAAAGTGCCACTCCATGTTCTTTTAAGAACTCTTTAGAGTCCTTATTGTAAAACTCTGTTCCTTTATAAGTCTATAAAAGTGTAGCTTTTCATGTGTAAAAGTTTACTTGTTTTAAAAAGCATCGACAATGGTTTTTCCATTTTTATTTTTCATCAGGACTACCCATGAATAATACTGAAAACATCAATAATTTCCAATAATTAGCTATTGCCTTTATTCCACTCTGAATACTTTTGCATGTCACAAAGATCAGCGCTCTCAGTATTATTTATTGGTGAGTCAGTTTCTTTACCAGTTATAAATACTTTTCTCTTTCTAAATTTTCTTGTGATTTGCTTATGAAGTTCATCAACAAGTAATCACCAATCATCAGTTACTTACTTCTGTGTGTTTTACACTAAGACTCAATTTACATTTTGAATTGATTAGAAATCTTGAAGTTTGACCCCACTCTAGCATCTCACCATAGGCAATGTTCTCAAGTTCATTAACCATTTTTTATCACATTCATGTTTGTTAAACCCTCTATCATAATATATATCATTTCTTGCTGCTATTTCACCAACTTTATTAAGAGGTTTTACATACCATTCAATTACTTCTTCTGTATTAGGGTCATATGTCAATTGTTTATCAAGTGGATTATAAGGACCCATGTATTTGTATTTTCCTGGTGTAAATCCTGATTTAGGTTTTGATAATTTACCAATCAATTTACTTAAATCAAACCCTTTAGCTTCTTCGATACTCAAATAATTTGATTTTTTTAATCACAACTGAGGCAAATTCCTTTTACCATTAATCTTCCACTTTTATCAAAATAGGAAAAAGTTTGTATGAGTCATTGAATTAATGAGTGACAATAATACTTATGTAATGAACAAAGTGGGTGTTTTATTTTCAATAAAATATGGTAAAATAAATTCATCATTGTTTCATGATTTCTAATTAATTGATATTAATTATAAAAGTTGTTTATTACGTATTGAAAACACAAAATCAGCAATACCAAGAAATTTAAGTATAAGTTTTACAAGTAAAATATATTAATTTTGATATTTATTAATACCAAGAAATTTAAGAATAAGTTTTACAAGTAAAAATATTAATTTTGATATTTACCATGTGAGAAATTGATAAAAGCAAATTTAAGATGTGATGATTCAAATAAACCATGTTAATCTTTATTATCTTTTAACCATACGTCAATCAACAAATTAAATGTCACACCAAATTAACAAAACTAGTTCTCATATACAAACTGTGCATCCAATAATATTAACTCAACAAAATATTGACGTGATTCCACTAACAAAAGAGAACTATAATAAAAATTTGCATAATCAAATGATAAACAATTTTCCATATTTTAAGTTTAGATTTACAAATGACTTTTACCGTTTAAATTTTTTACTATTAAATTTTATTAAAAAATAATGTATAATTTAATATTTCTAAACAAATATCATGTAATCTAAATTATAGGAATAAGAGACAGTCAATACATCTTAATCACATTTCATCAAATCTTACAACAGAAAAAGTGAATGAGCTAAGGACGCTATATGATGATAACCACAAAAATCTTGTTACAAATCTGCATATAAAAAATATCGTAAGTGGAAAATCATAGCTGAGTTTTGAAGTGATATTTTGCAGCAGGAGGAACAGAATCAGCTATTGCAACCAAAGGTATTTCTTTAGTGTAAGGTATTTCTTTCAGCTGTTGCAATATTAGTACAAGCATACTTGAAACAAAAAAATATTGATTCAAAAATACAACAAATCAAACATGGATACACTAACTATGAACATACAGTAACTGAAATAAAGATATTGCGTGATGGTGAATTTAATGACCATGATCTTATTGTGGAATTACAACTTACAGATGATGAAATAATTGAATTGTCACCAAATGTTGATAAATAGAATCAAAAATATGATAAATAATATAAATCAAAGTGCTCTGTGAGCAAACTCGTGAATTGACACATGATTTTTTAGATTATGTTTAATGTTATCTGGTTTAGGGAATTTTGTGGTTGATTGTCATATCTAGAGTACGAGCAGTAGTTCAGTGTTCGCTAATGTAGCAAAGAAACAAAGTAACGTTGGGATAAGAAGGCATTACAATTGAAATGATCATGCTATTACATTAGACAAGGTGGATGATGTCATGTGTTTTAAACGTCTATCATTTTTGTTTCTGGTTCAAAAGAAAAGGTTGGAAGTAAATGTGGGTGAAAAGTGAAATTTACTGTCTTTCGTTGTAAATATTAGAAAATCAAGGCAATACTGTCTTAATGAAAACATTAACGATTCCCTCTTTATCAAATGAGACAAACGGGAACGAGTTTTGAGTGATATAACTAAGCCAAGCCTGCCACCGTCATTTTGGATCTCCGCCTGGGTAGATTTAGGTCACGTGCTAGGCAACGTATGATCAATAACAAGATAGAATTTCATTTCAGGCCTATTTATCAATTTTGTGGTGTGTAACTTTCGCATTTTAGTACGTTGTATGTATGTTGAATCTTCAAATTGTCTTGAAACTTAAAAGAAAAATTGTTCTTTAAAAATTCACTGAAAATCGGTAGCTAAAATTGTTTGTTTAGGTGTTATCTGATTTTCGTGTTAACTTGTTATTTCGTCAGTCGCCGGCATCTTTTGTTGCTTCACACAGGAAAAACACACGCGACGAAACGTAATGATCAATTTTGTCCTCAATCTCACGCTATAACAGAAAAAGCTTTTGAACATCTGTAAACTCCGAGCGCTTCGCAGTAAGTGATATTTTCAATGAATCTTCGGATTGTTTTCAAGTTCAAGGATTGTAAATTACAATTTTATGAAAAACGAAGGTTGTTCTGTTATTTCAGTGTGAATCCTTGCATGCCTCATTGGCTTCTTTTTCACCCCACCACTATTCTTAGCAACAAAGGTCGCCATTTCGTCTGTTTATTGCTCGCCAAAAACTATAAAATGCACTCAAAAGCCTAAAATCTAAAAAAAGTTTACAGGAATCGACCAATCGAGCGAGCGAATGCCATTCCCCACATCGTATCTGTAACTCGCTCTTGCGCATGCGCGCAATTCACGAGTTAAAAATGAGTTAATTAATCAAAATTAATATCATAAAAAATCGTTATTGATTTTTTAATGATCTTTTTCCAAGTTTTTTACCAAAAAAGTATTTTATAAAATTATTCACGTAACGAAATCTTCTGTGAAAATTTTAATTAAATTTAATGAATCTTTTGATATTTAACTCAACCATCTGGTGTTCTAGTATGTGAAATAAACGGTGGAATTTGACCACGTCATCATAATTTGAGATGGTACTTATCAAATGTATTATTCAAAAATTTGTCACATGATATATTCTTTGATAAACTGATTTTTCTTCTTTTTCTATGGCTCAAATATTAAGAATCGAGCGCAAAATCATCATAAAAAATATCCATATTGGCGGCATACATTAATGCCGCTATCATTACTTGTTTCCTGTTTTAAACAACATTTATCATTTTCCTTTACCTGTCATTTTAAAACATTATAAATCTAATGAATATTAAAGAATTTAATCATTGAAATAGTTTCACCCAACGATGTACATAAAATGGGTGTGATTAAGCATTTTAAATACATTTTGTCATTTAAAAGTGTTTCGTGTGGCATTTAACTTTCGTTTAAATATATTTGTGTAGAGAAATGCCTTTAAAATGCGAATTGGGAAGGGTTATTTTGCGTTTACAGTTTACTAACATAGAAAATATGTTAATAAACTTAGTGCGTATGGTACATTAAAAAATGAAAAATACATATTGGCATAAAAAAGTACATCACAGCGGGTGCATGGTTGAGGAAATATATTGAAAAGAGCATGAAATATGTATAATATGCAGCTGTAAACACGTAAATTACTGCGCCAACAGGTCCATTTGCCATTCATCAGACCAGTACTTTTGGAGATAAAATGTTACTTGAGATCACACAGCTGTTACAAAGGCATGTGCATCGTTGACACTGTATGTAGACGAAAGTGGGGTTTATTCTCAAAATAAATTGATTATAGATTGAGAAGCATGCAGATCCTCGCCTTACAACTTGCAACTTATAATATTTCTTGTAATCACCGAATAATCCCCTGAAGAAATATATCTAGGAAAATGTGGTACACTGCCCGAATACATATGGTTTTCCCTGAAGTTCGAACGGTTAAACATGATGCTTGAGAGAGGGCCCTTAATTTAATACACGTAAACTTTTTGCAACATAGTTACAAAAGTGATAGAAATTTGGTAAACCAGCATTCATCAGGAATACCTGAGGAAGAAAAAAAATAACATTTCTAAATGATCATACCTGGGCTTTAATCATTGAAAGCGAAAAGACAGGGGGTGGTCGCTTATTCTGGAGAGGGCGCTTATTCGAAGAGATATTAAAAGACAGGACTGGAAACTTGATAGGTTTCATAGGAACGTGCTCACCAGGGTGTTTGAATGATATTGCTCCCAAGCCTACTCGCCAACGTAAACAGGGTGTATGGAATAGCCTATTGTAATTAAGGCGCTGCTTTCCCTTGAAAATCAAAAGTCAACTGCTAAAATTCTCATCGGGAATAATTTCCAGAAGCTGAAATTTCTTCAAGTAAGAAAAGTAAGTATCCTCGTAAAATGATAGAACCTAAAGTGTCATGCCTCTAAATGTTATTCGACTGAACAGAACAATTTTATTTTAATTTTGACAATTAGCAGTTTTCATGTTTAATTTTTTTTAAGCTTTAAAGAATTTTAAATCTAAGTTGTTTTTCTGAATGTTGAAGATTGTATCACAAAGTACTTTAAGTGGTTCTCTGTAGCTAAAATATAGGTTAACTTTCTCCATAGAAACATGAGTACAAAGGAGGGTCTGCAAATGCCTTGTCTTGGACGACCATTCCAACTTGCAATGTTGTACGACTGTAGACGTGACAGCCTTATTCCAGACAAAACCTTGTTGGATTCAGACATTCTGACCAACGCCCTGGTCTGCCGTGATCTATCAGAATCTCAATACAAAGTTTTCAAAGGGGAGAGCCTTGATGTTAAAATGGAAATGGTGAAAGCTGAAGGTAATTTCAAAATAAGTGTTCTTACAGGCCTCGCCAATGTTCCAAACTACGCCAGTTTCTTTGATAATAGATTATCGAAAGAGCAGCAGGGTATAGCAAGAGTAACGCTTAGATGCGAGAAAATATCTAAGGTCGAAGAACTTGATATTGAACTTTTAAAAAGCGTTCCTCTTGAGAATGGCAATGAAGTAAAAAATGCCACACACTATGTTTGGAGACTGCTATATGGGTCTAAAAACTTTTTCGTTTTTGATCGGGAGGTAAAACGTTGCGAGAATTATGGTTATGTGATGAGAGATATGCAGGAGTTCATTGAATCTTTGCCAAACTTGGACGAGATACCAGAAATGGATAAAGAAGAAGCTGGAAAGCTTACTTGTACAATGTATGGCGATACCTTTCTTCAAGAAAACCCTATAAGTTTTGGAGAAGCCTTCATGCTTTTAAAGGAACTGAGAAAACATGATGAATCTGTGGTCCCCATCGAGGCGAGCTTACTTCCACTGAGCACAGTAGATATTGAAGCTGCAGCAGCACGATATGTCACAGAAACTGACCCAGGAATACTTTCTCAAATGCAAGATATTATGGAAAACATTTCAGACATTAACGGTCGAGTCAGTGGTTTCACCACGACTAAAGCATTTTCAACATTTCCAAGCATCCAAAAGAAGATTTCAAAGTTCCGAGCAATGGTATCTCAATACACGAATGCACTCAAAAAGGATCTCTCACAGTTACTCCTCAAAGTAAGAAGCGGAGATGCCGAGATGAAAGAGATTAAAGCGATTTTGGAGAAAACAGTTACAACGCCATTTAATCGAGTCTATCTGTCCTCATGGGTAGATAAAACCAAGAGAGAGCTTAAGTTGCTGACAATGTACCTAGAAAGCTTCAAAGATTTTCAATTCGCCTTCGAACCAGACCAGCTCGATAGTGTCATCACTTCCCTTGATCATGATAGAGTTGTATGCTTCTCGTTTATGATAGACGACTTCCAAGACGAACAACTTCAAGAGATGGCAACCTACCTTCGCACCGGTAACTGGAACGAGAAGCCTCTTGGTCAAAAAAGCTGGTTTGAAAATGAAGAATTGCTAAAAGAGCTCAAGACCCTAGCCAAAACTTTCAGTAACCTTGCAAAGTCTTCAACAAGTGACAGCAGCACTAACTTTGTAGTATCAAACATCAGTGGCCAAGAAAAAAGTGACAAGATTGCAGTTCTCAAGATGTTTCAGGATGGTCAAGAAGTCGAATTCAAGCCTGAGAATATACCACTGCAGGCATCAACACCGGGTGATGGAGCTGATTCTAGCCGCCCATCAATAACGACATCCAAGCAGAATAGCAGTACTCAATTTGATAATACAAAGTCAATTAGGTGTGTGAGGTCATATATAGAGACAAATAGCATATTGCCAACGAGGCAACTGAATCCATCCTCTTTCCAAATGCAGCAAGGAGGGAAAGGTGAAATGCTTCAGACACCTCAGTGCATCGTCTATGCCCAAGCAAACTTTCAAGAATTAGATCAAGGGGTATTTGCAAGTCCTGACAGCGAGAGCAGAAACGTCAGAACCAAAGCGAAACAAATGCCTTCTGGAGCATATGAATCAATTCCATTTTTCGCAGATGAAGCAGGAAGTGAAAATCAGTTTATCTCTTCACACAAGCCCGCAGCTCAATATCATTCTTCTGCTAAAGGTGGGTTTTATCACGAGAGGCACAGGAATCTATCTCTCGATGTTTCCTCCGGCAATATGTCAACACGTTCAATTGAAGATCAATCGGAAGATCAAGAGGAACTGTCCCAATTACCTGGTCTCAGGCTAGCTCAGAAGATGCGACATCATTCCGAAGAGGTCGACCTTCAAAGAGAAGAATTTGTTCCCGTGTACAAGCTACCAATGGACGAGACTCTGAGGCTGGACAGGAATATGATTGTTCGAAAATGCCTTAAAGACCACCATGATTGTGAACGAACTTCCAATCTTGAGGACCGACACGAGAAAGTTCTTCTGGTAATGGGGGCTACCGGAGCTGGGAAGAGCACTCTTATCAATGGCATGATCAACTTTATCATGGGGGTTCAATGGGAGGATGACTTTCGATTCAAGTTAGTAACCGAGAAAGTTACTTCTCAACATGAAAGTGTGACAAAAGAAATTACTGCCTACACTATCCATCCATTAGAAGGTTCTAACATTCCTTACACTTTTACAATCATCGATACCCCTGGTTTTGGCGACACTAAAGGATTGGACCGAGATATAAGTATCACCAACCAAATCCGAGAATTTTTTTCTTTGAAGCCTCCCAATGGAATCGATCATCTTGATGGGATCGGGTTTGTTACACAGGCTTCGCAAGTGCGCCTTACTCCAACACAGAGATACATTTTTGATAGCATTCTGTCCATCTTTGGAAAAGATGTTCAAAACAACTTTTTTATGATGCTCACCTTTGCGGATGGAAAAAGCCCTCCCGTTTTGGACGCTATCAGAGAGGCCAAAGTAGCCTATCAGGGTTACTTTAAATTCAATAATTCAGCACTCTTCGCCGAGAATACAAAGGCAGTTGATGGCAACTTCGACAAATTGTTCTGGGAAATGGGTCGCGAGTCATTCAAGAATTTCTTTGAAAAGTTCGTGAGGTCTGAAAGCGTCAGTCTCCAGCTCACAAATGAGGTTTTGAAAGAAAGAGAGCATTTGGAGGTCCTCATAGAAGGTCTCAACCCCCAAATAAAGCAGGGACTCGCAAACATCGAAACAATGAGACAGGAGAAGCTATTTCTGCAGCAACATGAAGCACAAATTGAACAAAGCAAGGAGTTTGACTTTTATGTTCCAGTCATGAAGGCAGAAGAAATCGCCCTCCAAGATTCTGGGAAACACACAACTACCTGCCTGACATGCAATAATACCTGCCACGAAGATTGCAAAATTGCAGACAATGACGAAAAGGCAAAATGTGTCGCCATGGACAAGGAAGGGAACTGTGAAGTATGCTCTGGAAAATGTCGCTGGGAAAAGCATAAGAATGTCCCATATTTGATTAGATACACCACGGTCCAAGAGAAAAGAACTTCTCTCGACTTGAAAAAAAAGTACGACACAGCTGTTTCAGGGAAGTCTAAAGTAGAAGGCATGCTCATCCAATTGGAAAGGTGTCTTCAACAATTAAGGATCGACGTGCTATCCGACATGTACAAAGTGAGGATGTCCCTCAAACGCTTAGATGAAATTGCATTAAAACCTAATCCTCTCACAGAAGTACAGTACATTGAACTTCTGATCAAGAACGAGAAGAGGGAAGCACGGCCTGGTTGGAAGGATCGGGTGAAAGCTTTCGAAGATTTCAAGAAGAAAGCTCAAATGTTCAGCAAAATAAAGGAGGAAAAAGAAATTCCAAAGTTACTAGACGAGCTTATTCCGCTGGAAGAAAAAAAAAAGGAATCAAAAGCAAAAGGCAAAAGAAGTAATTCGGGATGTGCTTTAATGTGAAATAAGTTATAATTTGCGATAGAGAAATGAATTAAGTAGAAATAGAAAGAGCTGGTTCCACCCCTGTTGCACCGACCGCTTGAGTCTTTTTTCACCGGACTAAGTGTTGTTATAATCAAAGTTGACTTTGAAAGTGTCTTATCTTATCTAGTGTTTAGTTGAGTTCACTTTCCTTCCCGTGGGTGGAATGATGATCCACTTTGCCGTGCTGTACAAGTCAAATCAACCTTTATATCTCAAAGAAGGTATGTCCTTGAGAAGCAATGGCAGAAATGTGAAATTTCAAACCGATTGCCAATTCCGAGGAATGGTCGCTATATACTCATTCTTGAAGTTGGTCTTACATGCGATAAGTTCAAACTTTAAGGTTAGGGGAAAAAGTAGAAATAAAGGCTAATTTAAAAGGTTCAAATTATTTGAATGAAAAGTGTTACATAGTTACGCAGAATAATTTTTTTGAAGGAAGTTACTGAGCTACATGTACAAAGGCGAGGAAGCCAGAAATACTCGGTCTTCAGAAATATAGCTCAAGGTACATAAGCTAATATTACGAATTACGAAATTAGGGAAGTTGTTGTCTCGAGCACTAGACCTTAGAAGAAACACAATTATCCTGGGTCTGCAGATAATTCTTTTTAATTGTATATGTAACAAAAGAGGAAACCGTACCGTTACGCAACAAGTAACAGGAATATTCTGTATAATAGACTAGATATATTAGATGTTATTTAATCAGAATTTATATGACACATTGTATCTAGGAAACGTTTGAGAGTAGAAAGGCATGTGTCATTTGATTAATAATAAGTAAGCTTTAGGCTAGGTAAGCAGCGCGAGATCTGATAGAAAACATCAGTTGTTTCTAGTATTTCATTGGGTCAACAGTGACTCAACTTTTAGTAAGTGTAACCTATTGAGCACCTCAGAAGGTTAATTTTTTTCAAATATCTTATAAGTACTACCAACTCGTTATTAGTACTTAGTATCCTAATGCCTATACTTTACAGGTATCGGTAAAACAGACACTAGGGTGTCTGAGTTGAGAATTTTTCGAGTCAATCTATTACATACATTTGAAATACATATCCGACAAGCTAGCAGAGGAGTTTAAGAACGAAGTAATTATAATCCAGATAGGACAGCTTAGAATGTTGCTCTAGTTTCTTTAAATCCCTTTGATTTGTAATTTTTTTAAATCTCATTACTCTCAGTATTTTTCAAGAAGTATTCTAGAAATTTAAGTTGCACGTTATGTTTGTAATTGATTACGTGAGGCTAAGGTCATAGAAATGAGACTATTTAGACTATGCTAAATGACGCTAAAGGTAGAATTAGAAAGAGTAATAATAACGAGAAAAAAGAAAGATTAAATGAGAATAATAAAAACAAGAGGAGGGGCAGAAGAAGAAAATGAAGAGAGAAATGGAAAAAAGAGGATAAAGAAGAGGTCAACGAGAACGAAGAAGATAAAGAGGAAGATCAAGATGACAAAATGAAGATTATGAAGAGAAAGTCGGAAAAGAAGAAGAGGATCTAAGCAAATCATGAGGAAATAGAGGATGAAGATGTAAAAAGACAAAGTATACAGCAAAAATAAAAACGATGGTGAATAAAAGACGAAGAAAAAAGAAGCGGAGAGCACGAAGAAAAAAAAGAACAAGAAAAAGCACGAGACCAAGAGCAAGAGTAAGATCATCAACAAGAAGAACAACGACAAGAGCAAGAAGAAAAAGAAAAAAGAAGAAAATAATGAAGAAGTAGAATGAAAGAAAGAGAAAATAAGTGGTATGATGAGAAGAGGGAGATAAACAGGAAAATGCAAAAGAAGTAACAAGAAGAACAACAAGAATAAGAATAAGGATGCGAAGAAGAAAAACGAGGAGAAATAGAAGGAGAACAACAACAAGAAGAAATAAAGAAAAAGAAGAACGAGAAATGCAAAAAGAAAGAGATCAAGAGTAAGAAGAACTTAAGTAAAGAGCCGGAAAAGAAGAGAGAAAAAGAAAAACGAAAACAAGGACAGGAAGAAAATTAGGAAGTAGTGGAAAAGGAACAGGAAGACAACTACCAGAAAGAAAGAAAATAATACGAAGAAGGGAAACAAAAACAACAACAAGAGATGAAGAACAACGGAAAGAAGAGAAAAAGAAGACGACAAAGGATAAGCGGAGGAAGAGAAATAGAAAACAGAAGAAGTGCAAGGGCAGACAGCAATTGACCTGTAAACTACTTCAAGATGCTGCCATTCAACATGAGACACTCGTGAATAAGGTAACATGTTAATCCATAGGAAATGATAGAGGTAAAGTTAACTAAAGAGCCAAGGGGCCTATCATGCCAGAGTTTATCTTTTTCCAGTAAAACTAAACGGCTAGCAGTAGAGCCGCTCCCCCTGCATAGAATCCCATTCCATTGAACTGCATTTCGTCAGGTTGACCTGACAGTTTGTTGGTATTCATTTATCACACTGAGCGAAGAGGACGCTGTGAGAGTATTGAATCCCACTCAAAGACAAAACATGCTGACCCCCAGTGGCGTTGAACCCAAACTTTTTGATCCATGGTCCACCGCATTAACAATAGGGCAACAGCGTCTCCCATCTCTAGGAATTTAGAGAGGAAGCCCACCCCCTCCCCCCCCTTAGGAAAAGGCTCTCTTTTCAATTTAACCACAAAAACCACGTTATTCCGATTTAATGGTTACCCCATAGTCCATATAAGTTTCCCTCGAGGGCTAAATAACGCATACCCAAGCTATCGCCAGACAATTCGTCATAGCACATCTCCACAGTCACTCGGTTGCCACAGTCACATAGATTAAGATGGAATATTTCAGAACAGCATTTTCTTCTTATCATGATTTGAAGGCCTAGAGATCTTGCGCACACCTTACCGAACAACTTAATCATGTTTCTTTCTTAAGAATGATATAACTAATTTCTTCCGTATATCTCATATTTAGGATGAAATCGAGCGATACAGAATGACGTCTGTGGACTGCCACGAAGATGGAGCTTCATCCGAAGAAAAACTGACTGGCTGAGACACAAACTTGCGCCGGATATGAGAGATGATGAAGATTTACCATCAGGTCGTAGGATTACCTACACTAGCAGAGCCAGATGTAGAGAAGGCATCGCGATGGCCGCTATATCGTTAGGTGAGTCGATGAATCTCAATAGTGTGGTGTTGAGACTTTATTAGCGTCAAATGTGCTTTAACTGATCATCGCACAACTACAAGGTTAAGCGAGGTCAAACATGTGCGTCTTTATGTCTGGTTACTCTATGTAAGAAGGTTATGAAGCAAAAGATACAAAGCTACGTACTAAGCATTTTTAATTTATTAATGGTGCGTTTGCTAAATGTCAGGTATTGTTTACCCGACATATGAATGATTTTGTGGTTCCTTTAATGCGATTGGAGACGAGGTGGCCTCACGGTTAGCGACCTGGACTTAAGATCAAAGATAGTATAAGTGGGTACCGGTGAAACATCAAAATTCTTAAGCGATGAACGAGGAAGGGGTAGTCAGGAAATCGGAACAAGCTCCAACCGCTGAGCTCCTAAGCTCTTAAAATAATTATATAACCAATTCTACCACCTGAGGAAGAGTCTTTCTTAATCGTGAATTTTTGCATTCATTTGCAAAGCAATGTGACTTTAAAATATAGTTCTACGATTTGATTTACAATTTTGATTTGAAATGGGGAAGGTATCGTGATATACAGGCGTTACTGTATATCTGACATTGCTACTCTGCTGAAATCACTGAAATTTTTTCAACATTGGAGTTCTCTTTACCTTCAGCTACTAACCCTTGTTATTTCTCTTCCGTTTCGTTTTAGAGGGTAAGCGAGACCGGAACAATAGTTAACTGGTTGTGATGGCGAAAATGCACCAGTACCAGTTTTGAAGATCTGCTACCTTCCCAAAAAAAAGTAACACTCACTGAACTGAGGACACTTAGTATACTATAAATTAACTCTACCAGAGACGCAATAACTTGGAAGAATTAATTTCTATTGTTAATTAAATAATGTTTGAAAAATGCAATTGCATGTCCAACTCATTTCAGTTTAGGATTTTTCGGTTTGTTCGAGCCGTCTATTTACTCTCAATTTTGAAAACTTTTGAAGTGATTTTGATGACTGATGAAAAGTAAATTCATTCAAAAGCAAAAGAAGTTTTGTTATTATTATTCCCAGTTTTTCATGTCGCTAATTTTTGATTGCCAATAAAGTATAGCTCTTTTGATGCTTTGATCTGAGTGTTCTACAGTTTCTTTCATTTGCCTTTTCCAGAGGCTGTACGTCTTTCACAGAGACTTAGCAAACTCTTTATTACGTGGCACATTGAGATAAAGAAGGAAGAGGAGAAAACCTTAAATACTGCCTTCCTTATTTTGCCATGTTATCCAGAGTTTGTGTGGGACAAAGTGAATTCGTGATTGAAAGGCTGGACTCTTTATCAATATGCGCGGGCCTGAGTTATGGATGGGCCATTCTGTTATATTTTTCAGGACCACTAGCATAGGGTCTCTCTTCTCGAAGAGGTTTGGGGTGCAACTTATCGTTAAGTAAGAGTGCAGCCGTCGAGGTTCAAGAAATTATCAATGTTAAGTGGTGAACTGATCATCACTATAAGTGCATAACTGTTTGTTGAAGTTGCTTTGGTGTAATCTTTTCCGATTCTTCTTTCAAGACAAACCGACCACCAGATAAAACTAACATATTTGAATTGACCAAAGTCCTGAGAATTTAGCGATTTCGTAATAGATCTTAGAGAGTTGTAATTGAACCGCATGGTGAGCAATCTGGTCTGATTTAATATGTGTGATTTATGATCGAAATCGCCGAGTGCTCGCAACCCGCATGATTCTAGATAAAATCTCCCTCCTCTCAGTTTAATAACCATTAAAAACGCAGTGCGGGGTATTTAAGACCTTATCAATTGAATTAAAAAAAAGGAATCATGGAATACCCTAATGGGTAGCAAATTAAGAAATTATTGAAGCTCTGCAAGGCGCACCCAATCTATTGTTATACCGGAAGTTACTGTACCGTTCAAAATTCAAATTTAGATGTCCACAACTTTAGCGCTCTATACTTTAACTCTTAGGACACGTACATCAGTGCACGCTTCAGTGGAACAGCAAAGGAAAAAGAATGAACTATACGTGGTTTCATGTTTGTGAAGCTTTTAACGAAAAGTTAAAAAATGGTAAAAAATTGGCCGCGGAATTCCTTCCTGGTTTTTTGATGAAAACGTCCTTTGAATACTTTCAAACTTATCGGTTGTGTTAAAACACTTGCATCCTGCATACATGCCCATGCGTGCCCGACTTCGTTGTTATTACGTGAGATTACCAACAGAAATGGTTCTTAACACGTTAAGAGAAGTGAGAAGGGTCGGGCCTTCCCGTTTCCATGCATTCCCAGACTACGGTTAAAAAAAGAAAAAGAAATAGGGAGAAGCAACGCGTGAGGATAATTTCGCGATATTAATTCACAATGTTTTTCCACCAACCGAGGAACAAAATAATTAGTAGCTATCCCTAAAAAAATATATCATGTGTAAGCCAATCAACATGGCTTTTGGACCAGGAGTGAGAATGGTTGAATCCTGCTTCCCATACACACAAAATAGCTTCGTTTGGGGAGATTTTCCACGTTTCACTCAACAGTCGAATGTAAAAATGGCTGAAAGGTTGAAACCTGGGCTGGACGATTCTATCACAAGTAAGCCCTCGTGTTGGTCCGTTTTTAGCCTCGCAGGACGATTTAGCCGTTGTGGATGAAAATACAGACGCAGTTGCATCTCAAGAGCAGATAACTAAGATATTTGGCAACGAGTCAGCGCAGGCTCAGGCTCAAGTACATGACGATAATGGAAACAGTGGAGCGTCCAAAGGTGAGATTTGATTGCCCTTCAGCAGTGCGAGTTTGACCAAGAAAAGCACCATTTCTTGCTGTAAATTGCATATTTTTCTAAAACTATTTCAATGTCATTCCGTCTTTCAGAGTAATAACATATAAATAACGACCAAAATCCCGAAAATTTTGGAATTCAAAATGCATCGAAAAGAGCGGTAATTGAAATGAGTGGAGCGCTATAAGTTTGTGATTTCTGATCGAACTCCATTAGATGCTCGTTCACTTTTTAAACAGCATGTATGATTTTAGACCCAAACACACTCCACTCAGTTCAATTATTACCATTATTCATATACAGTGTCGGTTGCTCGACATAGGTTCTATATTTGAATCTTTAAATAAGGAATCATGAAATCACGTAATGGGCTAAAAATTAAGAAATCACTGAAGCCTTACAAGCCGCACCTAATCTTATGGTACACCGGAAGTTGCTGCACCAATTTCACATTCAAATTTCGATGGCCACAAATTTAGATGGGTCTCAATTGGGTGATGACTTTTACGGCTAACGGTTAAAATTTTGGCCATTTCTAAGGCTTACGGTTAACGAGAGATGTTAAAAACTAATTTCAATCATTTTGAACAGTAACTGATTGATCGTCAGTGTTATAAAAAAAATTTACTCGTTCGCTTTTACCGTAAGAGTCAAGCAATAAGGTCAATTCCAGATCTAGTTGCTGTCGAGTTGATATAGAGTATTTTTCTCTTTTCCCACAGTGGCCTCAAGACAAGGCATATGTCAGTTTAAGATTTGAACACTTTTAGTGACACATCGTTGATATGAAAAAGTTTACAATTAACTTTTTTACGAATAACACTTTCAATTTGTCCGTTTCTGCGCCTAAATTTTTATGCCATTTTACAGCTGATAGTTAACCCCAATAACCCTTTACACCGTAACATCAGTATTCATTTTCTCCACACTGCTCTCTGTACATTTCCTATGGGACTGAAAAGGAGAATTTATTTACCAATCAAGGGCTTTTGCACCAGTGATTATTAAAAGGCGGCGTGGTTAAGTGGTTAGGGTGCTGGACTTGTAATCTGGTGATCCCAGGTTCGGGTCCTCCACCCTGCCACTCACTGTATTTGTTCTCGGTCGCCCTGAGTTCAACTTCTCGGCTACGCTGTATAAATAGCAAACTGGTCTGCCTCCTGCCGGGTGGGATTTTTAAGTACTTTATGTTTATTTGAAATATTTTTTTCTCTCTTAGGCGCATTAGATCATATACATATGTATATTGCGCTGTATAAGTATTAAATTATTATTACAGTTATTATTATTTCCTTTATTCTACTGACTTTCGCATTTGACTCAAAACTGATAAAGTAGGGAGATATTAGAAGCCAGTAACTCCTAGGGGTTAAAGGATTAAGACCCTCATTTTGTGGTCTACATTTTAACCCTATGGACACGTACATCAGTGCACACGTTTTTGTTGCCAACTAAACTTATAACACGTTTTTTTTCAGCTTAAGTCGAAAAGTAACCGTTCACTTTGTGTCCCTATGACAACTAAAGAAAAAGCGTGGGCGTAAGGAACATGTGAATAATCTTCATTGCATGAAACAGATATAACTTTGGCCTCCGAGTTCCTTCCTGTTTTTTAATTGTTATTTTTTAAAAAAAATGTTTTTAAATACTTTCAAACTTGTCGGTTGTGTTAAAACGCTCACATTCTGCATATTAAAATGATAATGCATTCTACCAGAATCAGCCAGCTCGTCGTGATTGCGTGGGATCACCAAGCGGAAATGGTTCTTACCACGTCAAGAGAAGTAAGAGGGGCTGGGCTTTAACGTTCATGCAGTCCCACACGTCAGTTAAAAAAAAAGAATAGGAGGAAAAGTGTGAGAAAAGTATAGCGAAATATGTTTTTCGTCTTGTCACGAGCGTGAGACAACGAAAAATTCTGAGTCTCTATGAGGAAGAAATTCTGAGTCCCCATGATAATTTGCACATATTTTCCACCAACTAAGGAAAAGGGAAGAAGAAAAATCTTGCAGCTATCCATAAAGAAATATATATTGTCATTCTGTGGGGAACCCTGTCTTCAAACAACATGTGCTTTAAGACCAGGAGTGAGATGGGTGGACCTTTTCGTTCCTATGGGCCACCCCCGCATGAGACGATTTTTAACCTAGAAACTATACAAAAAGCTTCGTCTAGGGGAGTTTTCCACATACTTTACTCAAAAGTCGAATGTGAAAATGGCCGAAAGGTTCAAATTTGGGCTTAACGAGAAAGAAAGTGGCGAATATGAAGATGAACATGTCTGCCAAGTACCTCCTCTTCTACCAGAAGTAGGCACTCGTGTTGGTTTGTTTTCAGCCTCGCAAGACAATTTAGCCGCTTTGGATGAAGAAAAAAACGTAGTTGCATCTGAAGAACAAATAACTAGGACATTGGCAACGGATCAGTACAGCCTCAAGCACATGACGATGATGGAGGCGGTGAAGCGTCTAAAGGTGAGATTAAAAGGGCAAACAAATGAGGCGAGATCCGAGTTGCATTTCAAGTTACAACGAAGCGTTGGCCCTTCATTGTTTAAACAGACCAGAAAACAGTGGCCCAGAATCAAATAAATTGGGAATGCTTTCTGGTCACCACTTTCAAATCACCGAGGACAACGATGTGGCTGCAAAGAGAATAATGAAGTTACGAGTTTTCCGGAAGAGATTTGGCGAAGATTTCCCAACAGATGTTCCCATAATTTTATTTAAAAGATTGTAAAAACACGTGATAGCCCTAAAGTTACCCGGTAATAAATTTAAAATGATGCATAATAAATTACTATTCACAACTAAGCGGGATACTGATCCTTCTTTGAACCAGTTACGAAAACAGCTCAATGTTTTAACGGCTCTTGCGTGGTCGAAATTTAACAATTTTCAAGGCGGCATATTCTGTAAGCTTCTTTGATAAATTTTCTAATGACCCAAGGTAAATTAGTCAATCTCGATACCATTCTTATTATGCTACTAGAGCAAATCGTTAATGTATTCATCAATGAGCTAGCTGGCGAAATGTATAGTTTCTTATTATTTCTATTATAACGATATTATCATTAATATCTTAAATATTATTTTCATCATTTTTATCATTTTTTATCTGCCTTCTTAATTATTTTAAAAAATCATCTACAGCATTATAATTTCTAGAAGGCGAGGAGACCCAGGAAGCCACTGCACAAAAATATATTTTTAAAAAAAATAAGTGCTTCATTTAAAAACTTATATTTTCGTCTTAAAGCTGAGAAGATATGACTAACGAGAGACTGAAACAGGAAGGGAGTGCCAAATTTCTGGACCTTCGTAGAGAATTGTAAATTGCTTAAAATTTGTACAATACACAAGCGTTCGATAATTACTGGCTGTTCTTGTTCCATAGCAGTGAATTTGGCCATTTGTTACAAAAAGATTGAAAAGCGATGGGGGTAATAGATTTTTATCATAAAACATGAATTTGAGGATTTCAAATCTAATGACTTCAAAAATATCTAAAATTCCTAGTTTGGAGAATAAAGGAGCGGAATGGGCTCTGATAGTTTGAGTTAGTGATGTGCCGCACAGCTCGCTTTTGCAAATAATAAATTATATTTAACCCTTTGACCCCTAAGAGTGACCAGGTTCTAATTTCTCCTTACAATATCACCCCTGAATCAAACATTAAGGTCATGAGAATAAAGGAAATGATCACCAACTAAAGAATCTTTTGATGGCTAGACAAATTCTCCTTGTCATTGCCTAAGGAAATGTGTAAAGAACAGTATGGAGAATATGCCTACTGATGTTAGGGTGTAAAGGGGGTAAGTTAGATACGCATGTTGGAGGGCCAGGCGGTGCTATAATACACGATATAAGGATGAACTAAAGTGTAGTACAAAGTGAGTTTGGTTGTAGAGGATAGGAAAAAGCGTGACACTAATATAATATCCACTGATTTAGCGATTTGTTTAGATACATAGTTGATATGGGAATCATATGCGATTTTAAGTTTGTCCGCTTAAATGCCCTTTAAGTTTACTTGGGAAAATGCCCTTTTTCATTATTACGATTCTTTTTACCTTATCATCCTCATTATGTAAATAATAAGTTTGAAAATATTTTTCTTTTTGCCCATGTAATTGCGACGGGTCAAGAAAATACATATATAATTATAATATAAATTTTAACTGATAATCTGTTTTAGCCTGGTTTTGACCTTAGTTTATGCAACGCTAGTCCTCTAATTGCAATTAACTCATCTCCCAACATTCAAAATAACTAATTTTGTTTGGATTAAGCAAGTTTCTGTTTAAGCTGGAACTTTAAATGCTATAAGACTCAAGGATAGCATTAAAACCTTTCTTCAAGAGGGGAGGGGTTCTGACTGGTTCTCACTGATTACAGTTCGACATACCACAAAGAATCCATTAACGTATACAACTCTTATTTCGATTTGCCCTAACAACAGAAAAGGCAGGTGTCATGAAATCGATACCACCTTTGAGAACAACTACGACTTTCCTTTCATATTCTAAAGAATAAAAATCTTATTTAATTTAACTTAGCATTGGTCCAATTACGGCAACCTTTATAAACTTTGTGACAAGCTATGAAAGATGAGAACCAATTACTATCCTCTGTAGGAACTTTAATTACTTGGGTTTCTGATTGCGTTTCGATTCAGTAAATAATTCGTAGGACTAAAATCTAACTGTTGTTCAACGCAAAACCTTATTCACAGTGCTTCTCACGATAGAATAAGTAAATTCGCTCTGAAGAAGGCACAACGCTTGAAATGTCAGCATTAGGAACTCCGGCTTTACGGTGGCCAATTTTACATCAACTCAGTTTGTTAAAACCAATGTAATTACCTTGTAATATCCCCCACAGACGTAGCATTACAGTTTCTTTTAAAGCTTAATCCTTTATTCGGTACTAGTTCAGTTCTCAGTGATACTCACAAATTATTTCGGTCCATGTGGCGAATTGTTAATAGTCAATAGGCTTTTCTATGTAAAGAGGAGAGGGTGGGAGGGAAACTAAGCCAAAATTCATATCTGCATGTTACTTATTTTGCAGATTTTTACAACCGTTGTTAGATGGTTAAATATTAGCGTGACTGCATGGGACTTGTGAAAGACTCTAAACTAGGGATTCAGTTGTTCATAAACTTCTCCTTACTTTAACATCAGAAAGGCATCTTTCTGATATTTACTCAAGAAATCCCCTCCCTTGTAATAAAGCTGATCTAAAATAATCTATCTCACCATAGCAGATCCTCTACGCACAGTCCGTTGTCCAGAGTAACCGCGGGAGATCGTGATATAACCACATGTTATTGTAGCAGACCCAATCGCAATTTCAATTAACCCACCGGAGGATCTCCGGTTTAACTAAAACTGATTGCAAAGAGAACAACAATATCAATCTCTTGATTGATATCCAGCATCAATTTGATAGAAAACACTTTAAAGTGCTTGGTCCGAAGTCTTCAGTCGCATTACTAAAGTGACTTTCGCAACGTTAAGCGCTCGAGTTTCGCTTCTTTAAAAGTGAGAGGAAAAGAATATTATGGACATGAATACAACCTCAAAGCCCGATTCTACGGACAGAACGAGTGACGACAGTATTTCCGCCTTGGATATTTCACTGATAATACTAAAGGTTCCTCTCAGCCCTCTAATAGTTGTCACAAATAGTGTGGTTTTAGTCGCCATCTGGAAAACAACCTCTTTGCACACTCCTGGCAACATGCTACTGTGCAACCTCGCTGTCTCGGACTTAGCAGTTGGGTTACTGATCCAACCTCTGTTTATCCTCAACACCTTAAGGAAGTTGGTTGTTAACGATGATATATTATCTTCCGTCTCTAAGACAAAAGACATTGCAGGCATCTGTCTCTGTGGTGTGTCCTTCCTCACCGTCACAGCCATCAGCCTGGATAGGATGATTGCTCTAAAATTTCACCTACGGTACAACAGTCTTGTCACCATGAACAAAACAGCTCTTGCAATTGCTGTGATATGGACGGTGTCTGGTTTCTCCTCCAGTTCGAAACTGTTGAAGGTGCATGCTTTGTATCCAGTCTTTGGTCTTATCATAGTGTCTTGTCTTGTTGCCAATTTCTTTGCGTATTTTGAGGTTTATAGAGTAGTTATTCGACATCGGGGACAAATTCACTCCCAGATGCAAGTTATGTCAGCCAATGCAGGCCAAGGGATGCGCTTCAAACAGCTCAGAAGATCTGCCGTGACCATATTTTATGTGTATTGTCTTTTCCTTCTTTGTTATCTTCCCTACATTGCAACACTTGTCGCTGCTGTTTTCGTACGAACAAGCTTCGGCAAGTATTATGCAGTCCCTAGTACAATTGTTTTTCTTAATTCTGTCCTCAACCCTGTGATGTATTTTTGGCGTCAGTCTAACATACGACAAGCGGTAAAGCGGATTCTGAAATTTAGAACCCCTTGAGCAAGGTGGAACGCAACCAAACATCTCTTTTTAACGAGGGTTGTATACCATGTGTTATGTTATATGTTATGCAGTCGGTTATTTAACCATTTAACCATTATATCCATTAGCCTCCCTATTGCTTTTTCAGTAACAACGTTTAAGGTAACATAAATCTCTTTCTTGATGCTTAGCAGTCGTGTGAACGATCAGTGAGCCACCCCAAAACTCGCATAAACGGAAATATTAAACCTCTTCACTGAGAAGTATGGACAGAGCCATTATGCCTTTGAACTCTCAAAGTGACTAACGTCTGATTTTTCCTCACAATATCACCTCTGAATCACAATTATTATCGCGAAAATCTGGGAAGGGATATTCCCCCCCTCTAAGCATTTCGTCGGGTGATAGTTTGCTGGTACACATTTACACCCCTGGGTCGAGAGAGGCGCTCTGAAACGAAGGTGACTGAAGCACCAGAAAACATCCCAGTGACCCGGCCAGGACTTGTAAAAATACTTCATATGATATGAAATATACTTAATGCTAGAATCCTATTGTAATAAACAGGTTTTAAATACAATGTAATGCAAATAAATATGTGAATGTGCGTATGATTGTTTTTGTAGAGGATCACCAGTAGAGACAGTGACCAAAGAGAAATTTCTCCTTCGAGTATGAATATATTTTATAGCAGGAAGCTATTGAGAAAAGGTTCACCTCCTCAACCTTAGAAAAAACGCATGTCTACACTGTGGACTATCCTGAGGCAAATATCTACTGTAAAATTCCTGTATTAATTCCTCGGGTTTAAACCCAAACTTCTGATACATAAGCATAGCTGGATTTGTGACGGAAACATGAAGTGTGACGTCCTTCCCCATACACGTTTGAATCAAGTGATAAATCATGTAGGTTCCAATCCCTCCGTGGCGCCACTCGGGATGGACTAGTACGAACGAGATGTAAGCCTCGTTATAGTTTACATCGGGGACCATAAACGCAAAACCAATCACGAATTTTCTAAAATAAACGGGAACAGCTAATTAGATGAATTCGAGAAATTTGACCCTGTTATTCTTTTTCTCTTTCTTTTTGTTTGTTTGTTTGTATGTTTGTTTGCCTTTCTTACGCATGGTCGCACATTCATGTTGATTTTGTCCGCCATCGTTCCGGTTATCACTCGTAATTACCCACACCTTGACACCTTGAATTTCCTTCAACCTATCCCATTTTATCGCAAAAATAACGAAGACACCCCCTCCCCTATTTTTCTACGTCATTAATACGTTACTTTTCCGTGCTTCAAATTCTCACATGAGAGGTTTCAATCAAAGTTTAAAGAAGAAATACCCGCCCGTCTGGTTGTTCTTGACGTAAAAGAGTCGGCACATGTCTGTGCTCACAAAAGGCACACCACATTGTTTTATTAAGTAACCGATACCTCGTATCTGTTACATGGTACGTGACATAATCATCCTTTTCCCTACCCCTCTCCCGTCATTGAGTGAATTGTGAGTACAACCGCACTCGAAACAGTGGAAAACCGTAAATAAAAATGTGAGGCAAAACTAACTTATGAGCTTAAAGGCTCATCTCATCCCCCCCTCCCCCTCCGCTACCAGGATCTCGCCAGGTGATCGTGATAGTTTGCTGATACCCATTTACACTCCTGTGTGGAGAGAGGCACTGTTGTGAAAGTGTCTTGAGCTCTTGAGCGCAAGAACACATCACAGTGACCCAGCCAGGACTTGAACCCAGATCTATCGACCACTCATATACTGCATAGGATTAACAGGAAAGGGATTTTAAATCCCACTTAACCAACGAGAAGCCACAAGAACAACTGGCAAAAGAGTCTAGGTGAAATAAAAAATGATACCCATTGACTGTGGCACTCAAGCGAAAAACTAGTTCAGGACTACTTACTTATAAAGAACTACACAACTGAAATCAGGGAACTGGAGACACTCTGACACTAAGGAGAAACAAAAAGACAGAATATTACAAAAAGTCACTCGTTATTCTTGTAAAGAGTGTTGGAGAAAGCGCTAACGTTAGATGAATGACTATACCTTAAAGATATCTGAAAGCACGGCAATGACTGTTAGAATATCAAATAAAAAATTCTTTCATGTCACATGTACTACTTACTATGGCTTCGTCCACTCACGCACAAGTAAGAACTGCCTTTTATCAAATCTCTCAGTTTGAAAGTGCGCTATGATTGGCCAGTTAAGTGGGTCGTATATAACTGCACGCCCCGCTAAATTCAAAAGTTTGTTTCAATTGAAATATTCCCCCTCTATGTGAATCCGGAGATAAAATAAATATCTTACTAGCCTCGTTTTCTCGGTCCGTACTGTAAGTTAACACCTGACCTCGTTTTTCCAGTCAGATTTATGTTTCGCGCGAAGAACTCGGTCCGTAACTTAAAGTACGGACCTCGCACTCCGTAAGTACGAGATATGTAAACCATAATTATCAGGAACACAAGAATACGTGCACAATAAATTTCAACTCAAGAGTTACAGTGTAGTATCATACACATACGTTAAACTTCTCGAGAAGATTCAACTGACACCACCAGTACTATATGGAAATCCTATTTTATAACTATCATTTGAATTGTCACTCAACATTGTATTACATGCCCTTGCAAAAAGTCCGAAGCTGCTTATAACCAGTAAAAACAACATTCAAGAATGTCAGTTTGGTTTGAAACAGCATGCAACACAAAACGGATTTAAACAGAGAACAACTCACAATCAATTCCTGGCCAGAAAAATTCCCGACACATTGCATTCACAGATGGAATATGGTGTGGCTGTACATAGCAGTAATCAATGGGAGAAACTTGTGTTGGCTTCCACCCAGGATCATTCCTGAACGAATAGACACACTGTTAGAGTCGTTACAGAGTATAAAGGGAAGAACTCCCTCTAAAGTTCTTACTTTACTCGGTAGATTAATCAAAGTGACACTATGGTGGATTCGTGGAAATATCGTATTTCCACGAATAAGCTATTAACCTGTAATGATTTCGTTGCAGTTGAAGCCTAAACATTTATAAATAAAGAGTTAACAGAAACAGGCTTTCCTTGTATTCCTGTTATTTAAGAAAGTGAAGGAGGAAGGGGGGCACCTATCGGAGGGGGGGGCACTTGTTTGATATTACGGCCTAGGAGGTGGGTGTTTATTCGAGGGGAGGCGCTTATTCGAGGAAATACAGTGCTGTCCCAGAATATGATTAAAATATACTGTGATTGTATTAGAAGCCAATGATCCTATGATTCCCAGAGAAAGACTTAAGCCGTCATTCCCACAAAAGTCGCCAAATTGATGGTTCCTGGCCATTTTTTTATCTCCTCCTGACCAACTGTTAGGATTATTTTGTTTCTGATTTGTTTCCGACACCCTGTTGAAAGCACTCTAAATTCGAATCTGGTTTTCAAGCCACCTGAATAAAAAAGCACCCTACATTCTACGGCACTATCTATTCGAAAACGCCAAATGCCATCTTATCTTTCCATCAAAATCTGTAGGTTGAACACTCACCTATGGCTATAAGCGATTATTTCTTGCAGCAGTTTCAATTTCAACGGCCGGCTCTCATAGTCCCGTCTGATGAACGGCTTAAGTATTCTGGACGTGTAAGGACTGGTAATAGGTCTGTAAAGTGTTTGAGAATCACCGCCAATCAGCCGTGTTAAGAACGAGCAAGTCCTGGGACGAGAGCCGGGAAGCATGCGAGGAGCCGCCTGCAAATGTAACATAACATGAATTGCTAAAGTTGATCAAAATAAAAACATGCTCATCTATTTTCCTTTAACCCTTTACACCCTAACGTCAGAATACATCTTCTCCATACTGTTTTCTATACATTTCCTAGGGTGCTGATAAGGAGAATTTGATTGACAATCAAGAGCTTCTTTAAAACTTTAAATGTGACTGGCTTACCGAACTGTTCGATAACAAACTGTCCGATAACAACTTGGCAAGTGAATTAGTGGGAAATAGGGGTTTTTTAAACCAATCACAATCAAGAAAATTGTAATTTTTATGATTAAAAAGCAAACATCATCTATGCGTCCGTTCTCCAATAGATCATAAGTAAGAACTATTCACAATACGAGTATAATTCAGCTCAACATAAATATATGGTCAGACGAGGTTATTCTCAGAATATCAGCGAAAACAAAAAACTAAAATATGTATTGTAAGATATTTCTTACCAAAAATCTATCAAGGACATTTTCCGTCGTGCCAAAGGAAGAAGAATTAGACTTCTTCAGAATTCTCTGCAAGGGAAAAATTTCAAAGCAAATAATGAGTTCTAGTAAGTTTGTATGTCTATGATAAAGACAAGAACACCATTTTCAACGTAAATGTCACTTTAAAAAATGAAATTGTTTCACAACCTGTTTGTAAAGCTTTCTTTGCGAGTTATCTTCAGTAACTGATGGCACAATGTCGCGATTCTGCAAGTCAAAGAAAAAGAAAAAGAATACTCTGTTAACTGTAAGTCAGGCGTTCTGTTCAGTTACAACTAACAGCTGGAGAACAGGTTTTAGAGGATCTGTTAATAAAAGCTTTCAATTTTTACCTCAATCGGGACAAAACCATCACTGTTTAACTGATATCTTAAGGTTGACGTCACAGCATCTGAAACTGTCTTGTCCAGATCGAATAATTTCAAACCCTTGGATCTTTTAATCTGCGTGAGGCCAAAAAGAATAATGGTATAAAAGACATTCAAACACTAATCGAAAAAAATACTTAAACATGAGAAATATAAGAAACGCTGAAAATGATAAAGATGCACTTGTATAGTGAATTTTCCATGATATAACGTGGCTTACGACACTTTGTGGGAGACTTTGGCTAGACTGAATTGAGAAGTTTTACGTTTCAGTAAAACATTTCGCAAGTGCCCCAATTTAGGAATTTTTTAGAAACGAGGTCCAGCTACAGCATCAGGAGCTACATTCCCTACTGTCTGCGAGATGAGCGCGAATTCTTAAACGTTCCCTGCTAACCAGTACGGAGAGGATGCAGGAAACGGTGCCCACGTTTTATAATCCTTATCTGAGAAGAATACAACGTCTAACCATATGCCTTACATTGATGCTTGTTAAAAACATAATTGCATAACGTTATTCGTGAGATATCTCGATACGCCTCCTGTAGCCTCTCTTTCCAGCTTTTTTAAAGTGGATACTGAAACAAACGCACCTGTCTCAATATTAATTTTCGTCTAAATCTCCTCGCCACGGGATCATGATAAACTACTTTGGGATAAGAGTTGATCTTGAGCAGCAATTCCTTTTCTCTCTCTTCCGACACGGGAACCAGACTATCAATTGTCTGAGGAAGACTTGTAAGGTTGTTTGCAACAGGTTTGCCTTTGGTCTCACTCTGAACCGAGTCAGATTGCGGGTGCTTACATGACGTCTCTGAAGTAGCAGTTGACGACAAAGATTCCGTATCCTCCTGCCTGTCAGTTCTCTCACCAAGGAAGTCTAATTCTGAGCAAGGAAAACAAATAAAGCAGCTTTCAATTCAGTCATGAATGCATTGATTTTCTCAACAGAACTTTGTAATTGGCGCTAAAAATCTCGCACCACACTGCATACATCAGTTAAAAAATTGGAATTAGCTGCTACTTGGTTGTGCGCGTTTTCCCGCACTCAAACTTGTGATGAGCTCTTATTGGCTCTTCGTGGTGTGGAGCTTTGTTGTGATTGGCTGTGGTGATCAAGCTCGATTATTTTATCAATCTCTTTGATAATACCTACACTAATTAATACTAATGGTTGGACTACGATGAGTGGCAAAAGCAGTTGGCGCGCCTCCCTTTGGTAAGTGGTCGGCAACCCTCCATTCGACATAGTAAACAGAAATCTTGTAAGTTACTTGAAAGTCCCCTTTCCCCCAAACAATGTTGCAAGAAACTAGTGATCATTTTGTCAACACCATGCATCATTGAAATGGGAGAGAGTTGAAGATAAATGAGAATTCAAAACGTAGTGTAGCTTGCCAAGGCTTTTGCCACTCGTTGTAATATTTTTGCCAATTGAAGTTAACTTGAGCAGAAGGATAATAAACGTTTGTTTGTTTTTTTAACACTCCAAAAGTAGCTGAAGCAACTTTCAGTTGATATATTAAAATAGGAAGACATGCAAACCTGATTTTTCCTCTTCACCAGTGAAAAGTGAAGAAGTGTCGTCCATGTCTTCGTAACCAGCCGTGAACAAACTTGTGAACGCGTCCATCTCTAAAAGGCAACACAAGAAAGTTAGAACTAAATCGTTACGATGGAACAATTTTCAATTGAGAGTCGAAAGTAATCCGGTATTGCTTTGGTTTTGCTTAACCTTGCTCTGTGATTGGTCCAGAAAACTTACGTCACTCTCTCTACCAATCAGATACACAACTACATGCAACCAATCACGACTTGTTCGTCCCCGTTTTCCCGCTTTTTAGGCAGCTTTAATTGTCTTCACTTTGAGTTCTCATTAGCTCTTACAAACTGAACGACAAAAAGACTTCCAGAAAGGTGATATATTTTTACTAGTTATATATGTGATTCACCTATTTTTTTATAGAGTTTATCGAGTTTTTCTTTGACAATGACCATGGTATACCTGGTCCAGTCTGGTTGTTTTAAGTTGTGAAACTATCATAATGGTTAACACAGTAATTTGGTATTATCAAATGAGTTCATAACGTAAATTGGCCACCGTAAAGAGTTCCTTCGTCAGAGCGTCAGCCTTTCGCAATGAAGAAGGGCCAACGCTCGAAACATCAGCGTTAAAACTCTTTACGGTGGCTAATTTACGTTATCAACTCAGTTGATAATACTAAATTACCCTAATATACTCTACCAACGACGTAGCACCACAGTTTCTTTAGAAACTTACCCCCTTTATGATTAACACACCTGGTGTAGGTTCTGCAAGTTCCCGCATATCCTCCTCCGATAATAACTGGGACATAAGATCATCACATGGACTTTTATGCTCAGAAACTGAAAGCTAAAAGAATGAATTGTGAATGACTGTCTCCCTCAAAGATAACACAACCACTCATCAAACCAGGACAACTATTCCTCACAGGGGGACGGGTGTTTCAGGCACTGATGCACTGATAACCAAAATAAATAACAAAAATATCCTACTAATCCTTTAAACTCTATGAGTGACCAGCATCTAGTTTCTCCTGACAGTAATAATACTGAATCATTTATTAAAATCACGAGAATAAAGGTAATGATGACCAATCAAAGAAGCTTTGATCATTAAACGAATTCTCCTCATCAGTGCCAAAAGAAATGTATGGAGAAGAGTAAGGAGAAGATGGATACTGATGTTATGGTGTGAAGTGTTAAAGTATACATCATCAGTAGCAGTTCACCATACAGCAGTTATTCAGTTTCATAAGGAAAATCATCTTCTTGATTGAACTGATCTGCTTCACTCTACATACCTCTATGACATTTTCGTCAGCACACAAAGGCTGTACCGGAATCCTTGGGGACTTTTCATCAGCTGACTGAGATTCCCTGTTCTTTGCACCAAACCCTGTGGCAACACCAGCACGTCCTCTTCTTTTGCGTGAACTACCACTCCCTATGACAAATTATCAACCAGCTACAATTATCAAATATACATTTAAAATCTCATTTATCTAAAAGTTATGAGGAATAGAAGCATTAAGACTACTCAATTTAAATGCAATGCAAGGGCAAATGAATTTGACACCAGCACATTTAAACACACAAGCACATCTTTTACTTTGAATTTTAATTAGATAAAAGTTAATGCTTTCAAATTCATTTCAACTTAAAACACGAGTCAATGTTAACTGTGAGAAATGTTAAGAAATCTAATCATCAGACATCAAAACTTAAACTACTGTTCACATTATTTTGCAAGCAGGCTCTCAAATTGTTTACCATGTAGACTTTGCCTTACAACACAGCCACCTATCAAACCATCAGCAGATTCTGATGGAAAAAGCTACTAAAAACCCCAAGTATGATAAAAAAACCTGATCCACACCTGTCCCAGTCAATTTAACTGATGGAGCAATGTTCTCTTGTAATCCCCACCATCCAGTTTCCTTGTTAAACTCCTTCTGTCCTGACTTGAAATACTCAGGGCATCCTGAAGACAAAATGCCAGCAACTGTGCTATTCCAAGTGTTCTTCTTTTTTCTGACAAGGAAAAGATTTGTTACTCTCGAACCTTCCAACTTACAGTAGTCACTACACCTAAGACCCAGACTGGTGTCAAGACTGTAAGAGCTTAAACAGGGGCCTATCTCTCCCTTGGAGCTGATTCCAAAAAGTTGTTGTTTGTTTGTTTGTTTGTTTTTTTTGCTAGACCTAACAGCAATCGTATCAGGATATGAAAAAGACTGGTTTATGTGCAATAATCCACACTACTACATGCATTCCACACCCATCCTAGTTTAAGATCTAAGAAGGTGGGTGGAGGCATGTTAACCCTTCACACCCTAGCATCAGTGCACTTATTCTCCAAACTGTTCTCTATGCATTTCATAAGGTGCTGAAAAGGAGAAGTTGTTTAACAATCAAGAGCATCTTTTGGTTGTGATCATTTCCTTTATTCCTGTAACTTAAATTTGTGATTGAGGGGTTATATTGTCAGGAGAAATTAGATGCTAGTCACTCTTAGGGATCAAAGGGTTAACTTACCAAGACTTTTGCAACACTGGCGTGGGTTAATTTTTAAGGGGGGGAGGAAGGGAAAGTTGAAACCAAACCCCTTTGGGATGGAAGGGGGATTCTTTCCAAAAAAGTGATTGGACTATACATGTCATCAGTGTTCTCCCTTTCAGGCAGTAACTTCTTAAATTCAATTTGCCTGTAGTACCTCTCATAACCACCTAAAAACACTTTAAATTCTTCAAAATTCAACAGGTAAAAGGAGTGTTCTTACGATACCAGTATGAAAAATTCATTTTACCTGTTGTGCTTAAAATAAGGGAGAACACTGTCTAATGATGATGTACAGACTGTACAAAGGTTGTGACTCACTTGTTGGGGAACAAAAGCTGCCAGTGTTTGTCAATGAAGTGGCAGATGTCTTCTCTCCATCTAAAGTAACCTTTTCTTCCTCTACTTGTAGAGTACAGATTGTACAACGTCAAGTACACAGCTTGCAGCCTTTTCATCAAAGAGATGGCGAAAGGTAATTCACAAGTCATGGCACCAAAAATCTTATTCTAAGACAAGAACAAAACTCATCCCTAACCAGACCTGAACACTTTGAATCCTAATTTAGTGTAATTTGATTTGATCCTTGGATAGCTAAACACAAAACCACATGATATGTGTCATGGAGGTACAGTGTAGTTAGACCAAGATTTCCTCTAGTCACACTTAAATCGGTTTGAACAAACTTACATGTAATATATCAAACACGAGGAAGAGTGTTTCATCCGATATCCAAACACCAAGAAGTGGTTGAGAAAACGAGGCCCAGCTGAGTTTTTTTTAACCAACTTCAAGGTGTTTGGATATCGGACAGAATGTTTGATATAGCTTCTCAAACCATTAATAATTCTTGGAGAAAATCAAAGCAAAAGTTCACCAGATTTTATGATAATTAAGATCACATATCCAAACCTCCTTCACGGTTGTAATTTCCCTTGTTTTCTCAGCATGAATTATTAATGAGTTTGAGAAGTAAATATACACAACTTTGCTAAATGAATATAGAGTAACTTGGAAGGACAAATGTACTCTAATATTCTTATCCTCAGGATGGTAACAATGATGCTTGATTGAAATTCATCTCTAGGAAGATGCTTTGTCCATTTTAGCCTGTTTTAGGCATTTAGTTAGTAAAATGGAGTGTGAGAGTGAAATTAAAAGGACAATTTTCATCATGGAGCTGAAATGTGGATTAATAAATTTGGGTAAGGTGGAAAAAAAGGGGAAGGTTTGGGCCAGGATTATGGATAATTATTCAACAACAGAAGAATGGATTACCAGCTTAAATGTTGTCTGGTGCAAATCTCTGAGCCATCAGTAGAACAAGATGCACAGGTGAGATCAAAGAACACATCACCCACAAGTGTGCTGGGTTTTCCATTCTTTAGGCAATCTGAAAAGAAAAGTGAATTCAGTTATTATTCCAGTGATGTTAAGAATAAAATGCTTCAATGTGACTGGTTCTTAACAACCTTAATTTGTGGATGAATTTGCTGTTTCAGGTCCAACCTGTCCAATTTCACCTGTTTTTCCTGTGCAGACCAACCTACACCAGTGAGTTTAATTATATCTGATACACTCTAATCCTCACCCAAATGAAACAGGCGTCGGCATAAAACACACTGCACCATATTGCTGAAAGAGAGTAAGAAAGGACATGTTAAGGACATGTATCCTCGATTAAAAAAAAAAAAACATGGTCACAGTGCTCTTTCTTATTTTAAGCAAAAACGGGCAAAATACATTTTTAAACTAGTAGAGCATTCATTTAATCTGTTGAATTTTCAAGAATTCCAATTCTGATTTTAGGTGGTTATAAGGTGAACTAAGAGCTGTTAAGGAGAACACTATGGCCATTAAATACATGTAGATAATCAGATAAATATTCATTTCTTTCTTTTGTGATATGATTTGGTGTCATGTTTTAATATATATATATATATTTTAATATTTGACATCTTGCTCCATCTAAGCAGGATGTTTATCAGCAAGGAGTAACAAAGGCACACTGCTAACACAGCAGTATTATATACATAATCAAAACCATAACAAAATAACTGGACATGATTGGCCATCACCAGCCCGATTTGAAAACTAATAGGACAGTGTATGCTTCATGCTTGAAATTGGACAGTGTAATAGGACAGTTAAAGGGACAGTTAACATGTCATGCCTGTGAAAGTGGACACAACTTGTCATGTGCAAGCACTGTTGTCTAGCATTTCGCTAAGTTAACCATTGTTTTTCTTTATGAAAATGTATAACTGACATCTAGTTTCTGTCTAAAATTTTGTCATAGTTTTGATTAATTGGCAACAGGACTTTGTGATTTCCAATTCTGTCTGTAATCACACTTGTGATTAACAAATCAAATTCCCACTTTGTAGTTGTCCGATTTTGTTAATGACTCACACAATTACAGACCAAATTGGACTCCACTTATTCCTGTTACCATTATTAAACATACTTATGATTAACTTATCACTGGGACAGACTTCTGCTTCGCATTTGTCCGATTTTGTTAATCACTCATGTGATTATAGCCTGAATTGAACTCCACCCCATCCAATTACCATTATTAATTAATATAATGTATTTCAAGTCAAAATATACATCTAGCCATCAGCATTGAACATTTAGATTTTTCATGGTAAAATGGTGTAATTCCAAGGTAAAGAATAATCATAAGCTCCTCACCTGCCCTTTAAGCCATTACAATAACAAATCTCTTCTACTGCTTCATATTCAGTTTCAATTCCAGGATCAATAACCTACAAGCACACAAAACATTCAATACTAATCACAACAGAACTTAGAAATTACATGTCAAGATGCCAGCTCTAAAACAGTGTTAAGCTCTCCTCTTTCAAAAAAATATATCGTACTGACTCCTCTTTCACCCTTTACCTCCTTAGTGTGACTGGCTTCTAATTTCTCTGTACAGTTTCACCCCTGAATCAAGCATCAAAGTTATGAGAATAAAGAAAATGATCACTAACTAAAAGACACCAGTGTTGATAATCCTTAACCCCAAAGAGTGACTGGTTTCTAATTTCTCTGTTCAGTATCACCCCTGAATCAAACATTAAGGTCAGGAGAACAGAGGAAAAAGTAACTAGCTACAGAAGCCCATGTTGTTAATTCTTTAACCCCTGAGAGTCATTGGCTCCCAATTTCTCCTCACAGTATCACCAGCTGATCCAATAATATATAGATTTATCCAAGCCTAAAAGTGGAGCTCTCATTTTTTTTTTCCTCGCAAGTCTCAAGGGCACAATGCCTTGCCCCAGCCAGGACTAGAACCCAGGTCATCCAACTCAGAGCCCAGTACACTGACCACTGGACTACTGGAAAAAGCCATGGCATTGGCGTGCCCATGGTACAGTTGACCACGCATGTTAAAAGTAGCACCTTGTATGGGTGTACGGTTGTATGGTCTTACAACCAAATTTTTTCGGCTTGATGGGTTACTACTATTTTGTATAATTATGGGGCTTCGCTCTGCGAGCTCCACTATAAAGGCACTAAGAACGCTTTCAAAATTTGGTCTGTCTTGACTTTCTGTGATGTTCTTTTCTTAATGTACATTATTAACAAGTAATAACATGATTTCTCGAGCAACTTAGTGTAACAAGCCCTAGTAAATTTTTCCAAGACTATAAATTCACTTGTCTTACAGGCTCGTGCAATTATGTTGTCTTTGAAAAATTTAGTCGTGCTTATTTACACCAAATTGCACTCGAAATCATGTTATTACCTATACTTATTAAAAATAGTTGCAACTACAATGGCCGCTTTTGTTCTTGAATGAGATGTGATAGGGTATTCAGTAGCTTTGCTCTCCATATATTACTTAAGCTTAAGTAAGAGGGCCTCGTGGAAAAAAATCAACTTCACGACTGCAACGCGAGCTTAAAACTGACCAAAACATTAGAACTGAAAATTAAAAACGTTTCCCTTCAAAATTTAACAGTGGTGATCTTTTTAGGTAAAATACTGCCATGCAAGCAAAAGCCAAACTGGAAAAGAGTATTTAGGATGAAATGTCAAAGTTTCTATCCACAGCAAGAACAACACTCACCTCCTCGGCCATGTTTAAATCTCGTGCCCTTTGCATTCAGCGAACAACAGAAGGGATATAATATAGATAATTTCATTGGTGAGAAAAAAATAACAATTACACCTACAAAAATATCCAATGAAATTAGCTGATATATCAAAAACCGAAAGCCTTAGGATCCAGGCCTTGGGAAGGAAGTGGGGTTCGGTTACGGACTTGTCGAGAAGCGAAATAATTGAATTCTGCTTTCCTTGGCAATCAGATGACATGGTTTGACATTTTTGGCTGAAAACAAGTTTTTGGTGGGATAATCTGGTTACGGATCGGTGAAAGCATATAAATTGTCGTTGGTGAGTGTAATTTCATTTTCATCAGGTAGCTTAATTAATCATATGGATATTTCATACTCCGCTAAAATTTAAATTCAGTGTCTTTCGACTAGCTCAAGCCTTCGATTGTCTGAAAAGAATAAACAAAACCTTCTACCGTATTTACACCAATCTCTTATTGAAGGTCTACAAGGCATAAAAATAATACAGCTTCAGGAATTAAAACCAGCGGTAAAATCGCTTTGATTTACACGGGTTATCTCGAGTCATGCATAGGGGAAATAGCAATCGTCCTCGTAAGGAACCAATTTAAGTAACAGAAACCAAAATACGTAATTGTTTGCTATGTCCAGAGAATGGTTCACAAGACAAAGTATTCTTTAGTAGGATGATCATTATTGTTCTAGATTACTTAGTAAACATTTTAAACGTAAACTCACAGTCATTTTCCCGGAAATCAAACTCCTACTTCCTTCTCATGAATGCTTAGAACAAATAGAGATTAATTTTTTATAACGCGGAAATCACGAAAGATACACACAGAGCAAAAAAAAAACAGAAACATGTAAACACGTGAAGTGAAGTATTTAAAACTACATTTAGTCATCAGTTTACCACTACCTTCTGTTATATTTAAGGTTTCACATTTCAGCTTTCAGCAGGCTTCAGGCAATGTCATTACTCTGAAGCAGTATAGATTGAACAAACATTGCTGAAGAATGAACGCTGACTTGCACTTTACTGCAAAAAGGTGACAGAAGCCACCAAAACTGAGTCAGTTAACATTTAGATAAATGTTATCCTAGATTTGCTGATTGTGGCCACTTATGGGGAAAGTCACAGTGTAAATGTATGCTTCAACCCTTAAGACCTCAACACTGATCAAAGTGCAAGTTCTCCATACTATCTTCTATACACCTCCTTTAGTACTCAGAAGGATATTTGTTTGGCAATCAAGAGCTTCTTGAGTATGTGATCATTTCCTTTATTCCCATTACCTTAATGCTCAACTCAAGGGTAATGCTTCTGGGAGGAATAAGATGCTTATCTCCCTTCGGGGTTAAAGAGTTATATTCTCTAAGGTAAAAATTATGGGTTTTTCATGACAAGACCACAATAAACCCATGGAACTTTTCCTACATTATTTGCAGGATCTTTAAAGTAGGCAGATGAGAAAACCAACTCAGAAATGGCTGATCCACTGTTTCAGCACTGGTTTCATGGTCGTATAACTCGTATAGAAGCAGAAGAGATTCTGGCACGTAACGGCAAGAAAGATGGGTTATATCTGTTGCGTGAAAGTACTGCTTCAGCAGGAAGCTATGCTCTTTCCATGTGCCATAACAACAAGATTATTCATTATCACATTCAACGGCATTCTGATGGTACAGTTGCCATAGAAGATGGTAAGAAGTTCCCAGGACCTGTGGAACTAATACATCATCATCGCACTTGCCTGGATGGGCTTTTAGCAAGGCTGACTGAACCATGTAATAGGCTTCCAGGGGTACCACCAAAAACATACTCTGGTGCTAATCAGGAACACATCAAAGATGCGGCTATTGCTGCGATGGCATCTATGGGAATACAGGTTTGTTGGAACCAAGTACATACTTGTATGCACATTTCCAAAGTGAATTCAACTAAAAATTTGATTGTAAGAATTCCTTAAGGGTATATTGTACATGTTGGCTTTAGGTATACTAGACCCAGTGATAATAAGTTATTTATTTATTTAGAAAGATGTAATGTCTAGAATTACTTGGTATTAGGCAATGCATATAAGTATGCTTCTTAGTAAAAGTAAATTATTTGAATGTCTGAATGAGATTTTGACAGACTGACTGACTGACTGACCAGCTATTATTGAGTGGGTGGCTCACAGACTGACTGACTGACTGACTGACTTACTGAGTGGGTGGGTGACAGACTGACTGACTGGCTACAATGGAGTGGGTAGGTCACACATTGACTGACTGGCTATTATTGAGTGGGTGGGTGACAGACTGACTGACTGGCTATTATTGAGTGGGTGGGTGACAGACTGAATGACTGGCTTTAATGGTCAGTGGGTGGGTCTCACATTGACTGACTGGCTGTTATTGAGTGGGTGGGTGACCGAGGCTGACTGATAAACTTACTAGCTAGTTGAATGATGGACTGATTGACAGACTGACTGATTGAATGATGTACAGACTGATTTACTGACTGACTGACTGACTGACTGACTTGATAACTGAGTGGGTGACTGACTGACTGATCAAAAAGAAAATGGATCGCAACTGTTATAGTGTCTAACTAAATGACTAATACAAGCTGGGAGTAAGGGTTTCAGGTTATAAATGATTTTGTCATGGTTCTCTAGGATGGAGATGAAACCACTGCAACTTTGATGAGAGCTAAGTTGGAGAGTGCAATAGGTTCAGTTTTGCACAAAAATCAAATCTGGTTCCATGGAGTAATTTCACGTGAGGAAGCTGAAAGAAGGCTTGCTACATTAGGATGCCAAAATGGGATGTTCCTTATCCGTGAAAGGGATCCAGGATATGTGCTTGGTTTGTGTTACGAGGGCTCAGTAGTCCATTACTTGTTTGACATCGATCAGCAAGAAAGATTATCAATAAAATCAGGTCCAAAATTTGACAACCTGATGTTAGCTGTGGATCATTACTCTCAGCGAGAAGATGGTCTTCTCTGTAAGTTAAGCGAGCCCTGTAGCATGGAACTCTTTGAAACTGGAAGAAGGATTTCCATGGGTGCGCGACCACCAAGTGTCTCTGATCAAGAACCAAGAATAGTTACTGGCAACAGACCACCTAGTAGATCATTCAACGACTCTTCTCCATTTGCAGGAAACCCGTTTCTTCAGGGTAGAACTACCAATGTCCCAGACCTTCTACATGGAGGTTAGTTATTGAAATGCATAGACTGCTGGATTCACCTTTCAAATTTCTTTTATTTCCTTGTGAAACGTAGGGAGAATTAATTTTGCATCAAAAGCCAGTTAACCCTCTATACCCTAACATTAGCATGCAGATTCTCCTCATTGTTCCATATACATTTCCTAAGGTGCTGATAAGAAGAATTTGTTCAACAATCAAGAGCTGGTTTAGTTGGTGATTGTTTCCTTTACTCTTCTGACCTTAATGTTCAATTCAGGCGTGATATTGTTAGGAGAAGTTAGATGCCAGTGATTCTTAGGTTTCAAAGGGTTAAGGCTCTATTCTTTGCACACTCTCACTCCTGCAGTTGTATATGTTTTTTACAGTGGAGCTCTGTTAATGTGATTCTATGGGATCATTAATTAAAATTTTATGACAATCAGAGTACAGTAATTTGCAACTTGATTGCCACAGCCTTAAAAGGTGCTAAAATAAGACTAATGAACCTTTTGGATTTATGTTAAATCATCTTTCTCTTGAGTGAAATACAGACAGTTATTAAGAAGACAATAATTTTGTTTGGAAAATATCACATACAGTCAAACCTGTATTAAGCAGTCACCCAAGGGGAATGATGTGATGACTACTTAAAACAGATACCACAGTTAGGGGTTTTATGAAAAACAATAAACAATGCCACTCCATACCATAATTGACCACTTATTGTGCTCGGGAATACTACTCACTTTAATTTTGGGAGAGAAACATGGATTAGGTATTACTTGAAAGATTATTATTAGTCTATTTGTCATAAGTGGTTCCGCTGTCAGTGATGGTTCAGTATACAGGTATGGTACAATAGAAACAGGCAGTTGGAACTCAGAAAAGGGTTATCATCTGTGCATCTGTTCTCTAATAGATCATAAGTAAGAACCATTCAAAATTGTTTAATTAAGTTGAAGACTGTGGGTTGAACAAGACATGGCTGAGTCGTTGCATTGTGTTCTTGGGCAAGATATTCTACTTCTGTAGAATCTCTCTCTGCCAAGGAAAATGGGGGAAGTTACAATACTCCTGGTCACTTCCAGAAACCAGGTTAATCTCTGGCTGAACAGGTACAACTTGACTCTATAATTGTCATTCTTGACCCTTTCTTTTCTACCTTGCCAGTTCCCAGATCTCCACCAAGGAACCCACCTCCTCCTCTTCCCAGTGTCCCTCCTCCAGAATCTAACAGAAATTCTGGCCCTCCACGGCTGCCCCCCAGACCTTCCCCAGCCTTACCTGTCAGCCCAAGAGGAAGAGGTGCACAACCCCCACCAAGCCCATTTTTTAAGGAGAGAAAATTGCCAGCGTCACCAACACCATCAGGTTAGTTGGAAATTGGCAGAAATTGTACTTTAACCCTTTAACTCCCATGAGTGACCAATAGAGAATTTCTCCTTACAGAGTTGATGCAATATGAAGTAGACAAGTGATGAGGATAAAGAAAAATAGCAACTAGGGGATAATTAATTGATCCAATACTAAATTCTCTGAACCAACATAATTATAAGAATTGTAGGAGAATTACAAATTTGATCTGGGAATTAAAGGGTTTATTTTGAGGAATAAATTACAATATTTCAGAGCTGTTGATGTGCATCGAAAATGAAAAAAGTATGTGTTTCTTTATAATTAGAGCATTTTACACTCTTTTTCAAGGCAAAAAAATTTTCAAGTCAAGTGTGATAAAGTAGTTCTCAAAAACCTTGTTAATATATTCTGATTGCACCATTAACCCTCTATACCCCAATATCAGTATGTATATTCTCCATACTGTTCTCCAATTGCACTCTTAAGTTGCTTATAAGGAGAATATACTTGACAATCAAGAGTTTCTTCAGTGAGTGATAATTTCCTTTATTCTCATGACCTTAATGTGTGATTCAGGGGTGATATTGTATAGAGAAATTAGGTTCTAGTCTGACTCTTACATGTAGATGTCCGAGGGTTAAGCTGATTGCTTTGTTCATACTTGTGTACTTTCCAATTCTGTAAAATTGACATGAGGAAGTTAGGTTACATGTATAGGGCTGTTTCAAGAAAGGTTGTTGGAAAAAAAGCAGTACTCTTCAGGTCACAGTTGACCTCAGGATTTCAGGGGAATCTGAGAAAACATCTCTGTAAGGATAAGGCATAACAACTTTTTAAAATTGTTTCATTTATTTGAGTTGATGAAATTCGTGATGATCTGATACCCAGATTACCTTTTCGAGATCTTTACCTTTCTTTATTCATTTGGTGGCCAATTTAACTTATAAACTCATTGATAATACAAAATTACCCTTTCTGGAAAGAGTCGTGTGTCTGCTGGGTTCTCAGGTGTATTTTCTGTAACACATATTTTTGATCCATCCTTTAGCAGCAGCAGCAGGTGCTTCTGGAGGTGCAGCATTTGAGGCGATATATGACAGCATCAAAATGAAGAAAAGCTCCTTTTACTTCAATCAGTTTAAAGATATGCAAGCAAAAAAGCTCAAGAGTGAAAACTTGAGACTTGAAAGAGAACTAGGTGGGTTAACCCTTGTACTCCCAAGATCCATTTGCTAATTCTCCCCTCTAGCTGCTACACATGTTCTTGTAAATTAGTTATGAGAATGTGGTGTTGCATGCAGATCAAGATTACAACTTCTTCCTGATAGGTATGAATATTATACATTAGATTTGCTATGAAAACTCTGCCAACTCAGAGATAAGTGTCTTCTTTAATTTATTGAATTTTTATTGAATTTGGCTTTGGCATGACTTCATGAATTATCAAACTTCATGTCTGTTATCCACCTTAGCCCTTGGCTTTGGCAGGTAACTTGGAACTCAGCATTGATAAAACCTGATATCATGCTAAACATCATCCAATAACTGCTTATTATTCACATTGCAATCTCATGTATGGATATTGTTGGGAGAAGTTGCATGTTAATCACCAGTTCCCCCAGGCTCTGTTACTCCATAATCCTGTTCTACTCTAAAAGTAAAGTGAACATTGACCAGTTGTTCCAAAATTAAACATGCATTAACTGTGCCAACCATTTCTCCATAGAGTCCCACATAATATTCTATTTTTGAACAGTAAAATAATGAAAGCACAATTTTGTCTGGGGCAATTTTCGTTCAAGTGCAGGTTTGTTCATTGTGATTACTCAGGTTTTGGTTTTTCAACACTCAATCAAAATGCACTCTATTATAGGCCATGGAAATTTTGGCTCAGTTCTTAAGGGAGAGTACACGAAGGCAAATGGGGAGAAGATTCCAGTGGCTGTTAAGAAACTTAAATCTGAAGAAATGAATAATCCACGAGTAAGTCTGTATATGTCAAAATAATTTTCCATTTTCCATTTAGTGATGATTCTATTTTGTCCACTAATGGACAAGTACATGTATTCAAGGGCATGCAGCATGTAATTCAGCTATATGCTGTTAACTCTCTCCCAAGATCTGATCATTAATTCTCCCCCCTAGCTGATACACATTTCCTCATATATTATAGTTAGTCGAAATACAAGAATTTGGTGTTAGGTCAAGATAACAACTTTTACCTGATAATTTTGAGGATTCTCCTTACCTATTTGCTGAATGATGTATGGATATTATAGGGAGAGGTTACATGTTTATCACCTGTGGGAATGAAAGGGTTAAGGGAGAAGGTTCTAACATACAATCAGTGCATGACCTCATCTCATCTTGTTATTCTAATCGTGCAAACTAACTCGAGGAACCATCAGCATGTTGGAGTTTGTATGTTGCCCTTTTACTACTAAGATCTGGCTGGAAGTTCTTCTTACAGACTGTCGCACAACTTTTAATTTTCGAGTTATCAGAATTAATTTTTTTGTTTTAAAAAGTTACACACTGTGACAGTGTTTAACTTCCATGATGGTTACATTTTGTTTCAAGGCTTTTTACAGCTATCTTCACAATGATCTGATTCTATCTATGGCATGAGATATTCTTAATGCAACACATTATCAACCGATTTTAATGATTTTCTTCATATTTTTTTTTCAGTCTGAAATTATACATGAAGCTGAAGTTATGATGAAGTTGGATCACCAAAATATTGTTAGAATAATAGGTAAGTACAGAGTCATTGAGGGACATTTTTATTTTCAATCTGTTGAAGGGCTAATGCTTGAAACACACCAGTTTCAAAAACTCTTATTGATTAGAAATAAAATAATATATAAATACTAATAATAAGAAGAATACAGTAAATGGGATGGAATTTATCAGTGGAAATTGCCAGAGGTGGCTCTTCTTGCCCACTGTTTCCAGGTCAAATTGGAATTTAGAATGTTGGCTTTTGTGGAGGGAGGAAAACCAGAGAACCAGGAGAAAAACCTTCAGAGCATGGACAGTTAACAACAAACTCAACCCACATATGAAAACAGACTTGGGAATCGAACCCAGGCCACAGTGTGGGGATGCAAGCATTCTCAGCATTGTGTTATCCCTACTCCCTTGATTAAACCAGATTATGTTGTAATACTCCATACCAATGCAGCACCACAGTTTCTTTGGAAACCTAACCATATACTTTTACTATAGCAAAGGTTGACTTCCTAAGAATAGATATTGCTCTCTGCTTGATAAGCTACACTGCTGTATCTTCAGTTTAAAAAGCATCGGCAAATTACTTTTTTGATGAGACAGATAAACCACAACATAGAAAATTTTGATACAATGTAAAAGCAGCATGAGAAATGATGGCCAAGGATCGAAAAATTGAAAAAAGCCTGTAATTTATAGGGCAAAATGTTTGAAAGTTTTCATTTTAAATGAAAACTTTCAAACATTTTGCTTTTTTTTTTTTATCAAATTTGCATTCTGTAGTGGAGCTTTTCAATTTCTTCAATTCTCTTAACAGGTATTTGTAAAGACACAACAGTTATGCTAGTGATGGAACTTGCTCCTGAAGGTCCCTTACACAAATATCTCAAAAAACACAAGTAAGCTTATTATAATAAACAGTTCTAGATTTAGATTACTTGTGCCTTACCTCAACCACTGGACTGAATGACCTCAGTCTGTCAGCTTAACCATTTAACTCCCATGAGTGACCAAGCAGACAAGTGATGAGAATAAAGAAAAATATCAACTAGGGGATTATTAGTTGATCCAATCCTGAATTCTCACAACTAACTTCATAAGAATTGTGTGGCAGGCAGTAAAGAGAATTTCTAATGAGATCTTGGAGTTGAATAAGTTGGATAGTAAATGACTTTCTTAGGAGTCGCTGGGCAAGAGAGTGACTGAAACAATTACTTCTTGTTAGAGCTAGAGATATTTCAAAACAAATTTAATGATGGTAAGGAAATGATGTTATCAAAGGAGTGCAATCTGTTTTCAGTACTCTCCGTTTCTCTAGTTTCCACTTCATTATAGTGATCACTCTGTCCATTTTTGCAGGTCTTTGCCGATGTTCAAAATTTTTATTATAATGTTGCAAGTTGCCGAGGTTAGTAAGTTCTAAAAGTGCTTTTCGTTTGAGTGTCATGTAATCGCAACAGCCAATCAGATGACAACAAGATATCATAATCAGCCAATGAGAGCTTATAAATACAAAAAAATGTCTGAAGTGCGAGTGAGAGATTCTTGTTTTAGTTTTACATGAACATGATCTACGACCGGTCAGACTCACGGCGACACTGAATAATTGTTGAATAGACAGCGAGAAGCGTAGCTAATCAAATTGAAGCATTTCTTACTTAAAGACTTAAATAAATTAGTAGTCTGAAGAGATATTAGTATATGCCACACAGGTTCATAGTGCTTTTCGCGCTCTGATTGGCTGGTTCAGAAGTGATTAGCAAGTATTATTATTCTTATCGATTTGACTTCTGTTCACAGGGAATGCAGTATCTCGAAAACATGCAGTTTGTGCACAGAGACCTTGCTGCTAGAAATATTTTAGTTGTCAATGAAGACTTCGTCAAGATCAGTGACTTTGGAATGTCTCGTGCAATGGGAGCAGGAAGTGATTATTACAAGGTTGGTGTCCCTACAGTGTAATAAAACAGAGATAGAGTGGTCATTGCAGTTAATCAGGGCGAAGAAAAAAATTTATGGAAAGAGCAAATGAAAACTCGTAGTAAAAACAAGCAAACTGCTAGAAGCGTGAGAAAACGCGAGTGAGTCGCTAATGCTTTTGATTTTGTACATTGTACCTGGTTGGTTGAGAGGGTAGCGCGAGTTTTTCTTATTCAATCAATGTGGAGAAAGAAAAACCAAAGCAACGACGGATTACGTTTAAAGCGCTTTTCGATTGAGGTTCGCTAAACCAAAACCAAAGCAATTGCAACAGCTTATCAGAAGAAAGGAAAATTTCCTGAAGAACCAAGAGAACTAAAAGTAAACCGCTCAAAGCGCGGGAAAACGCGGGCGGCCAAGTGGCGATTGGTGTTAATTTTGCATCTGATTGGTTTAGAGAGTGGCGCGAATTTTGTGGACCAATCACAGAGCAAAGTAAAGCAAAAGCAATGCAGTCCCGCACTACTTTTGATACTCAATCGAAAATTGCTCCATACGAAAGTTTCTTAGTTTACGTGGTAATATGTAATCTGTTCTCTAATATTGTGTAGGCTGGTAAACCGGGAAAATGGCCCCTAAAGTGGTATGCTCCAGAGTGCATTTACTACCGGAAGTTTAGCAGCAAAAGTGATGTGTGGAGTTACGGTGTCACGCTATGGGAGGCCACATCGTATGGGAAGAAACCATACGAGGTAAAGTAGTAAATTCACAGGTCACACAGGTTAGGTTACTTTCTTAACATCTGGTCACGCACTTGTGTGACGCAATTTTTTCAACTCAGTTTACTTTTCGTATGATCGTTAAGAGGAGGGTAGCCCTGAAAGTGGATTTGTCGCAAGTAGACGTAGTGCTTAGTAAATTTCCATGAGATCTACCTCTGTATTAAGCGCAAGAATAATCCCCTTCCGTGTGAAGGTCGTTATACTTTAGTTCGTGTTTTGACGTTAAAAATTTCTCTTTTCCTAGGGACTCAACGGACAGGTAATTCTGGAGAAGATAGAAGCTGGTTACAGACTACAATGTCCAGAAAATGTGCCACCAAACGTGTATGAAGTGATGAGAAGTTGTTGGGAGTACAGGTAGACTTTCTGAAAATTATTTAATGGTTCGCCTTCTAACCTTTTTTCCTTTTAGCATTTGCCTGCTATTGATGAACTTGACTTGAGTTTTTCAAGATGCACAAACTTTGACGAACTATAGCTCCTCCAGATACGTTTGATGAGATAGGAACACTTTTTAGTTGAGCGTCGAAAGTCATTAGGAATTTTATTTGTTTTGCTTCACTTTGCTCTGTGATTGGTCTACCAAACTCACGCCACCTTCTCAACCAATCACAATTAAAAATGAAACAAATCACTACTTGGTCACCCGCGTTTTCGCGCGCTTCAGAGCGTTTGCTCTTTTTACGTGGAGTTGTTATTGGCTACCTGGATATTTTCCTTTGTCCTGATTGGCCGGTGTTACAAGCAAGTTGACTTTGTTTTTGTTGTCCTTACAGAGAGGAGAGAAGGCCAACGTTCCAGTCCCTGGCTCAACAGCTGGCCGACGCATTAATGGAATTGAAGAACACTGAAGAATACCAAACACAGTACCTGGTGTGATGAATCTTGCTGCATTTGAATTCCATGTGTTTTATTAAAATTGTTATTCTTGGCAATGCAGATAGATTCAAAATGATTATTGTTACTAACATGAAATTATAGAGACTTCTTTTTGATTGCGTAATGCTATGACAAATCCAGTCACTTTCTATGACGTTATTTTGAGTCAGGACTCGCTTTCGTAAGGAATTTCAAGTGCAGTCATTTTAATTCATGTCGTGCTATGTCATGTAACCATGTCATGTTCTGTCAAGTAGTGTCAAAATCTTATAATTAGTCAATTATGGCTGCGACGGTTGAAACACCATCTTGAATATTTTGTGGCATATCACTACTCAGCTGAGTACAATTATGAATATTTAGTTTATTTTCTTGATTGCGACTATGAGTTCTTTTTAAACAGATTCCTATCCATCCTAGTTTCGTATCGGTACAAATTACTTGTAGCTAGATAGGAAGAGAATTACATCAAGAATTGATCGCCATCTGGGGTGCTGCTCCGGCAAAATCTGTTTAACAGTGCTTTACTCCGTTCAGAGAATTTTGCCTTTTCACTACCACAGAGAAAATATTAGAAAACTTCTTTATTCTCATAACCTGTCTCTTTTCAAGGTTTTGATTGAGTTATTTTCAATTGAGTGTCTTTATTATTAGCTTTGTTTTACTTCGTTATGTTATTGGTCAAGGAAATTTGGTCGCCTGCGTGTTCCTGCGCTTCGGACCAGTTCGTTGGTTTCTCGTGATCTTTCCTTTGATCTGATTGGCTGTTGTAAACTTTTGGTTTGGTATTACGGCAGTCAGTCAAAATACACTAAATTGTGAGGATAAGTTACTTAATGCTCTCCTCTGGAAGTCAGTTTTGAAATGAGGTTTGCGGTTACCATGGCAGTGGTAGCCATGGTATTATAACTATACGTTGGCTTTATCATAACATAGAGTTTCTACATAAACTCAGTTTCTCTGCAAATACCTTTTATTAGTATAATTATTTGTTATTTATGCAGCCTTTTCTGGCTGTAAACTTTTTTTATTTTAAGGCTTGTAATTTGTTGACGTTTTTTTCTATGTTCTGAAGAGAAGGTTAAGGATGGCACTCTGTTTGAGTGGTAGAGGAAATTTTCGATTAATTAATACTGTATTTTTTTCAGTTGTATTTAAAATTTTTTTTAGAGCGAATCAGTCATAGATTTGAAGGAATTTTGTAATGCCTGAAATTTTCCTGTGTGGAACATTGTAACCAGCAATATGCGTTATTTTCAAAGATTTAATAACTTTGTAGGCTGAGCTTATGAAACAAAAAAAAATAGACATCTTTGCTTGCTTGCGTCTCAGGTAAGCCTTCGACTATGATATGTATTTTTATACGACCGCTAATTGGCTGAAAACGTGATTTATAATTATGAATTTTGTAAAATTTAACACATGCATACGTTGATTTGTAGGCAGAAAACAATAAAATATCGATTACTTATAAAGGAAAGAGGTCTTCTTGGATATCAGGGGCTATCGTTGTCTCGTAGTGAAGTTAAGTGCAATTCCTAACTGGTTGATTTGTGTGGAATTCCTTTCCAAACAAATTTATGAAATATTTTTCCAAACTACAGTGTTATGGGGAAAGAGCTGAGATTGCGTTCTCGTTACCACGTTCATCGTTACGTTTATGAACTGTATGGATTGTATTCACTCTTTAAGTAGACAACATGAGGAGTCCTTCCTTATCGGCGAAGTAAGTTGTTAGGGGGGACTACTCGTAGTCTAGTCGTTGAGGAAAATACCGTGTCCACTTTAGTCCTGTTTCTAGTTATAGGTCTTTTATTTTTAGCCAATTTCTTATTTACATTTACGCGGGGCGATAAAGATCCGGCTTGTGTTCAGACCAATAACTCAGGATTTCATTTTGTCAAGTTGACCCTTAACACACTCACATTGGTTGTCATATCTCTTCATACTGTTCTCTTTAAATTTTAAATGAGTGACAAGGAGAATTTGTTTGAAAATCAGGAGCTTCTTAAATTGGCGATAACATCCCTTACTCTCATGACCTTTACATTTGATTCAAGGCTGACAGGGTTACAAGTTTCTGAATCTGTACAGGCACCCACATCGTACCATGTTATATCTGCTTGTGAGTCTCCACTCATATGACGACCCCTGCGGCCCTCCGCGCGCTTTACTTGAAAAGCATTGCATAAATTTTAAATCCCGCTTTACGCAGCAAGCAAGGTTGTAGAAAGCCGTGCGGCTTCGCAAGATGCGAGCTAAAAGAATAAGGAAGAAAAGAAAAGGGGCAGTCTTTAGAGAATATGCTGCGCTCGGTTCTGTTCATCACGCATGACCTCGAGCCAAGTATCCTCGTGTTCGGCCCTCCCACTCAGTCAATAAGTACAGTCTTCATGTCAACCGAATTTCTTTGAGCTCTTTGAGTCTTTCGATGATTTCCACTAATGAATGAATTATTTCCCGAATAGACGAGCGAAAAAACGAGTTAACCACAAACGGCAGCTCTGCTGATCATGGAAACAGCTGCTGTTCCATTATTTGCACGCTCGCCTTTTTCGTTTGATTCCATTCCGCCGTGAGCACAATTTGAAAAGTTAGATCGTTCTGCTGTGCTGTCTCCTCTTCAGTGAATAGAAGACCCCTTGCCACTTCCGTTCCCACTCCTGTCACCACTACTTTTACTGCTATTACTACCTTGTTCATCAAGATCGCTCCCTCTCCTCGCTCGTGACTTTTTGGAGTCATCTCCCATTTTATTTGAAGAGCTACCAGGCATAGAGCAGTCTTCTGAACCCTCCTCACTTTTCGATTTCTTTTCTTGCATGGCTATCAAACAAGAAAACAAAAACTCCTAAGATCTGATCGGCGATTCTCCCCTCTTACTCCTACACATTTCCTTATAAATTGGTCGCGAGACTTTGGTGTTAGATTAAGTTAACAACTTCTACCTGATGAGTATGAGTATTCTCATTACCTGCCTGCTTGATAAAGTATGGATATTATAGGGAGAAGTTGCATGTTAATCACTTCTGAGAGTTTAACGGCTGAGGAACATTTGGCATATCGGGACCTTTTTTTTCTGGAGGACCATCATATAAAAAAAATGCAAACGAAACATCGAAGCATTTATCAAGCTTAGGACAAAAAAAAATTAATCATAACAGTTACTCGACAGTATAGAGAGGCCACTTAAATATTATCCATTTCTGCGTTTCACGAATCCAGACTGCTAAGAAAATTTTTAAAAAACGTCATACGGACAACATCAAATCACTGATATGTTACAAAGATTTGTGATATTTATCTTTTGAAAATACAAATTTGTGGTTTCCTTTAAGTCCTAAGTAAAATAACATGACGCAAAACAAAACAACAACAAAAATGATTAAAAAAGGTACCGTTAATAAAACTTCGCTTACTAGACCGAACCATTCTATATTCTAACACATCCCGACCTTGCACTGACCCATAGTTATCAAATAGATGCAGTTGGACTGACGCAAATGTCAAATTCAAGGCTCTGATATGTCAAAAGACAAAACGTCGACTCGATCGAATTTACATCTGAATGTAGATAAGCGATGAAGCTAAAGGCTTCTTCTCCGAATAAGATTCAAATTCATTCCTTCTTTGCCTAAAAGTTTTATCGTTTTACCGCAGGTATTCTTATGTTTTTCTTCCCTTATTTCTATCAAATTGGAGATACATGTACTTTAAATATTTCGGCTTCAAAAAATGTATGAATTATTAATTATACTCTTGGATACCTGTTACGAATGCTATTCAGCTGTAAACAGAAAAGTGTCATTTGCATAAGCGGTTGGCTGCCCAGATCTTAAGAAATCTTCGCACTATTTTACTTACCTAGCTTGTACTTTAAACACGCCACCAGCTTTTCGTAATAGTTGATGCTTTCTCGAATATTCCCCAGCAAATGATATATGTTTCCCAAACTCGCACAAGCTTTGCTCTCGCCGTCTAAATCTTTTAATTCTCTGGCGACGCTCAGACGTTTTTGATGACAATACACAGCTTGGTCAAAGTCACAGCGCTGCTCAAAAATATTTCCAAGGTTATTCAAGAGTTTTGCTTCACCGAGTCTATCTTCCAGCTCCTTTACAAGTCTTAAACCCTGTTCGTAACATTCAACAGCTTTATCCAAGTCACCAATCCTTCGATAAGTGCAACCCAGATTACAATATGCTCTCTTTTCGGCGCGTTTGTTTTGAATAGCTTTTGCTAAGTTAAGATGTCGTTCATGACAGCTTTTAGCCTCAGCAAATCTGTTTGCCTTGTAATAGAGTATTCCTAAGCTACTCAGAGCTTCTCCTTCATTAACTTTGTCTTTAGCTTTGCTGTATGCGCGGATCTTTCGCTCCAAATGTTTCACTTGTTCGTCAAGCGACCTGCTATGCTCTCCTTCGTTCATAGCATTGTGTCGTTTTTCGTTTCCAGCCGGTTTTTCTGCCATAATGAATGGAACTTCGTCATCTTTTGGTGGTTTAACGGGCCCCTCGATGTCTTCGGCTTTTTTCTCATTCATTTGTGAAGAATAAAGGGAACAATCTCAAACACCATGCAGGATTGAAATTAGCATCCATCAAAATTTACACCATCAAGCGCCTACTTCACTTAGATTACCCGTCGGCTCTCTTGTGGTTTTGGGCGCCTGGCCAAAATCTGTTAATTGACATTACGCCACTAATGTACAATATTTACTTTATTGTTGTGTTCTAAAACGACACAATTTTTTCACATATTTCAATAAACCGAATTTAGATCAATTTTGTTTTCAGCAAACTCCTTGAAGAAGTATGCGTAAGCTAGACTTAACTCTTTGAACTGTTGGTTTGTAATGCTGCTCACTAATTTCAGTTTTTTACCCCGCCACAAAAAATTCATTCAGTTCTGTTAAAAGGAGGGGGAAGGGGGTCAGAGGGTACAGACACCGTTGCTACGAAAATTCACTTCGCTATAACAATTTATTAAGTCATGATGCATTTCTGTAGAGAAAGTCAGTTCTATATTGAAGTTGTACAAAAAATGAATGGTGTGGGGGGGGGGGGTTGGGATTCTTTTTCTCCACGAAAAAACACCATTTACGATAACCATTTTATTTCTGTAGAAAAATTACCTATAGCGGTTTTAAGTCCACTGTCTAATTTTCTTAAAAAATATATGAGATGTACTTCTTGGACATTAATGATCGAGAACATAAATAAATATACGTTAATATTGTTTTGAACAGAGTGATCTACAAAATTATAGTTAACAACACTTCTTTTCAGCTATTAAATGTTTATGGAATTGATGTTAAACAATCGTTCATAGCACACGTCTTAACTTTGAGATCTGACTGCTGCCAGTAAAGCTTCCTACTGCAGCTATTTCATCGCACAACGCGTCACAACACGTAACGTATCACACTCGTAACGGATCACGACAAGAAATGTATCACACACACGTAACGTATCACACAGCAATGTTTTCCGGGTTCGCCAGAGTTGCCAGGCTTTTTTGTGATTTCGTCAGAGTAAGGTTGATCTTCTTCTCCATCAAATCCTCTCGAATTTGTTTCAACTCCTTCTGGGCTGCGTCACGATTCTGAAAACATCAACGTCGAGATCAGTTTAGCGAATGTTTACAAGGTGGCTTATGACAGCTTGAAGTATTTTTCATTTGGTATCATTAAAAAAAAAGTGATTGCGCCTTGATGAATGATTAGCAATAGTGTTAAGGACCACTGATTATTTATCACCTGGGGGGGAGGGGAGGCTGTAGGATTTTTTCAGGGGGGCGGGACGGAGAAGGGATTAGCGACGTCGCTAACAGAGTACAAAGGGGAGCTTTAGAAAATTGACCGTCAATTAGGGGGGGGATATTTAGAATACTTCAGAACTTTAGGGGAGAGGGGAGTCAGGTAAATTTTATTGTGTCACGACCACAATCCCTTTATCCCACCCCACACCCCCCCCCCTTTTTTAAGCACTGATCACGTTAAGTTTATTTTGAATGACTACCATTTGTAGTCAGTGTGAGGTTGAAGCAAGGCACTCGATACAGTGCAACCTGATTCGACGATTGATGGCAAAGAAGGAAGCCAGGAAAACAAAACACAAAAAGAAAAGCGTGAATCGAACCTTCATCTCAGCCGTAAGTTTAGCTTTCAGTTCTTCAATTCTCCTCCGTAATTCTTCAACCTCATGCTGCAATCGTGCCAGAGACATGCGTTGGTTTGTCTGTGAGTAGAGAAAAAAAAACATTTTGAGTTCCGATTCAGTTATGGCAATTAGCATTTACTTCACTAAGACAATAGAACCTACCAGCAAACAAAGAAAGTACAAGTAATCACAGCGGCCAATCAAAACAAAGACGAATATTACACGGAGCCAATGAGAACTTTAACTAAAACTGCGTGACTGCCTTTAGGCGCGGGTGACCAGGTCACGATTGATTTACAACTTATTAGTTGACAAAGTGTATCGATTTTTGAAGACAAGTCATAAAGTGGAGTTATTGAAATGTTCCTTATGTTACCTTTTCAGACGGTGACTTGAAGTCCACTCCCGCTTGAGGTCTTCCGCCTTCCCTTTCTAAAGAAACATAAGTAGAAATTCAAGTTAAGCGCCTCACGCATGGAGAACATGTTAGTCAACAAGCCACGATTGGATTCAGTTTGGCAAATGAATGGCATAGAGAGGGCTTGAATTTTCTGAAACAATCACAGAGTACAACAGAGCAAAACCAATACAATCCTGGAATGCTTTCAAAACTCACTCAAATTGATGAAAACACCATGCAAAGGACCATTACCTTTACTTTCCAAGTAAGACATTAGAGTTTTGTGTTGAGCATCGACTTCATGTCTCAGTCTGTTGACCTGCTCTTCTAATGCAGCTGTTTTTCTCTTCTCCTCAAAAAACTTCTTCTTCCAAATGTTTTTTGCTGCACGTAAAAAAAGTCAAAGTTAATACAGGCATCCACAAGACAACAGAAGACGAAAAGACAAAATTTCTCTGCTGCACGTAAGAAAAAGTAAAGTTAATACACGCGTCCACAAGATGAACTGCAGACTCTTTATTTTTTTATTTTCCTTCTTTTAGGTGAGTATGCTAATTGTGGCTTCTACTATGCAATGTTCTTCTTGACTATGAAACCTGCACCATGTCATATAACTATGCATACAAGTATCCTTCTCTTTATGTCTTCTTAAGCAAATAACGGCTTTTTTCTATTTAAACTTCCTTAGTACATTTACACATAAATGGAAAAAAAGACATAATTATTCTGATCACGGTAATAAAACGAAACCATCAGAAAAAATAAAGGGGGTAAGTTTCTAAAGAAACTATGGTGCTGCGTCGGTGGGAGAGTATATCAGGGTAATTAAGTATTACCAACCGAGCTGTTGGTCACCGTAAAGAGTTTCAAACGTTGACGTTTCGAGCGTTAGCCCTTCGTCAGAGCGAATGGAGGAATTGAGGGTTGTGTGTATTTATATGCAGAAAATGGAGCTACGCTATTGGTGTAAATATGGTGACGGGAAAACAAGAATAATAGCTGTGCATGCCTTAAAGGAATACAGTACTACAAAGGTCTTATTGAAAATAGCAATGAACCGCAACATAATAATAAGTTTCACCTACATTGATTCCTCTTCTGCATCATCTGATTCTGTAACATCTTGGCTCTCCGTACTTTTGCCTCTCTCTCTTTCTCCATGTCCACCCTTGCATTCTTGGCCTTTCTCAACTCAGCCTTCAACTCTTCTATCTCACGACGTTTCCTATCCTTAGCTGATGCACTGTCTGCCTCCAGTTCCTTATCACCCCTCTTGGGGTACTTCATGGGGGGTGGCGTGGGGGCCTTGGGAAGCTGAGGGATTTTGAATTTGTTTTCAATACTTTCGACAGGTTTTTTAGCAGGTTTTTTCACCACTTTTTTTCCTTTTGTAGCATTTGCCTTCACGCTATCTTTCTTTGTATCGTCTTTTGTACCCGTTTTATTGCTGTCCTTGCCTGCAGCTCTATCTCCTTCTGCACCCTGCTGTATTTCCCCTGAAATATCTTTCTTGTCATTGAGTCGTGCATCATTGAATCCTCTCTGATCATTGTTGTCGTTAATTTCTTCAGCCAGTTCTTCCTGTTCACTACCGTTTTGATAGCCATCCAAATTGTCTTCACTATCATGCAGATTAAGCCTGAAAAAAAATGTAAGATATATAAAATTGGGATCTATCACTGTACTACTACTATAAAAGAATTCCACAAAACTTTCATTTAAATTTTTGTATGGAATTCAGTGCTCTTATTCTTATGCAGTGGCAAGCTGGGCTGAGTTGTTCAAAAATGGGTTAGGACAATCCAGGGTTAGAGTGAAACCTGATTTCAGTTCTAAGAGCTTTAAGAGAAAATTTTAAATAACATTTTGTCTACAACATTATGATTGGATGCTCCAAAAAGAATAGAGGAAATTATTCAAAAAAGGCTTTGAAACAAATTAAAGAAACCCAGATGAAAATTTAACTCTGGGTTAGTGCTGATTGGCTTTTGAACAACAGGGCCTAGGTGTCAAATACCATAGAATGAAAATAATATATTTTGGATTTTTGCTTTGAAACATGAGAAAACTGAAAATCTTACGCATTCAAGTCTTGTAATCCATTTGCAATAGCATTGTCATGCTCCAGTTCATCAGGCAGTGTTGGCCTTCTTGCTCCTTTGGCTGGAGAAGGGAACTGAACAAACTTGGATCTCTCTTCCACTTCACTTAAACTTGGAGGCGTATCTACACGACTCATTGTCACTTCACCATACACAGCTGAATCATTGGTAACCTCATAAATAACATATCTACTATCTTCCTTTTGACCATTCTGTTCTTTGGATTGAGTTCGCTCAACAGAAGGTGATCGCGATCTGTCTCTCCTTTTCTTTTTCCCTCCTTTGGAATCAGCAGGCTTTTTCTTCCTATTTAAATCAGCTGCACCTTTCTCATCTATTTTACCACTTGGATTATCCTTACTTGCATGTATATCAGTAGAATCCACATTTCTAGAATGAGCTATGACTTGTTCAGCCTCTTGGCCTGGAAATGGCGATGAAATGACACGCCCAGATGGAATAGGTGTTGGGGGAGACACCCCTGCCCCATTTTGACCAGGAACAGTCAGATTCTGATACACCTCTGGTTGAATAAACTTCACACTTTTGGTTTCTGATTGATTACTTCCATCTGAACTGCTGCTTCCTTTCTTCTGTATTTTGTTCTTTTTCAACTTGGATGCAGCAGGAGTGGATGAGTTGTCTTGTGGTTTTTCATTCTGACTTTCCTTTTTCTGTTTTTTCTTACGTTCTTTTCTGTCATCCTCTAATCCACCATCATTCTCCGAGGATCCACCACTTCTGTCTTCTAATGATTGCCATCTCCTGCCATTCTCTTGATCTCCATCATCTTGTGTTCTCTCATGGTCACTGCTTCCCTCATCTTCTGAAACAGACTTTCGAGATCTGCCACTTTTCTCAACACGATTGAGAGAACCATTTGCCTCTTCTTGTAATGTAGATTGGTGAGGGTTATTATAACCACCTGGAAGCACATTTTGATGAACAAATGGTTGCTGGATAAACCCTGCAGGTGGAAGCTGATGAGGCTGAATGGATGCCATACCAGCTTCAAAAAAAAAGGGCATATGTCAGAATCTGTCATATTAATACTGGTTAACCCTTTCCACCGACGCATCAGCATGTATATTCTCCATACTGCTCTCTATAAATTTTCTCAGGTACTGACGAGGAGAAATTGTTCAACCGTCTAGCGCTTCTCAAGTTGGTAGCAATAAATTCAAAATCAAGGGTGTTAGGAGCTTCTGAGCCAACCATACATAATGTGAATGTGCAGTTTCAAGTTTGAGTGATTGCTAAATTTTTCTTTATCTTAAAATTTTAAACACCTTCATCCATAGTCTCTACCTATTGCTACATGTAGGTTGAATTTTTTGTACATTAGATTCACAATAGTTACCATAAAAAATAAAGAGAGAGTCAAATAGTCATCAGTAATTTACCAGTTGTGAAGCCATGAGTTTGTATAATGGTATTGGTAGCATTCTCTGCTGGCCTTGCAAAGGCGTCATGAGTTCCAGGAAGGATAAATATTTCTGGACTATAAGCCTGTAAAGAGACAACCTTTTTTTAATATTTGTATATCATACCGATTATCAAAAACTGGATCACTGGATAATGCAGTTTTTATTGGCTTTTTCATCATGGATTATGGGCTGTTATACCATGTGTGCCCATGAAGACAAGTTAAATTGGAAGTGTTTTAGTACATTTTAACATTCAATAACTTGGTTCTTACAAAATAAAGTTGGCAACATTCATTTTAAATTTTGGGGTGTTTTTAATTGGACAATTCTTCTAATTGCACTTGTTGGATATAAGATGATTATAGCCATATCCAACACATGCTCATGGAATAATTGTAAATCCATCAACACATTAAAACTTAAGATCAGGGCCTTGTCATTCAAAACACAGTTTGAACCAATCCAGGATTAAAAGTTTTAACTAGAACTGATAACTCTCCTTTAAAAGTATATATGGAATTTCCAAGAGTAAGTGTACACAATCTAAAATGTGTGTGAATAAGCACTCACCCCTTACACCACAATGTCAAACAAGCACCCCTCTTGAATAGCTGACTGACCCCCTCTTCCAAAACCCCCCCTGCCCCCCCTCCTTCAGGCCAAAATTTAAAATAAGCTCCGGGTGCTTATTCATGGAAATGCAGTATTATGCAAACACTTTGTGTATTTCTTTTTCTGTATAATGCAAAACAAAATGTACTTAAATAAAGGGAAAAAAGAAAGGCTGGCTTACCACAGGTGGTAAAAAGTCCTTGGCTTTGAGCAAACGCTCTTGATTTTCTTTGACCTAAAAATAAGCCGGAACAATGAGTACCAAGGAAAATTTATCACATTGTTTATAGCGTGCAGATTCGTGATGAAAGATGTATTTTTTTTCTCAAAAATCCAGCTGAACCGTAGGCGTAATAATATAGGAAACACTGAAAACCACTTTGCAAAGAAAGTGTATTATTTATCAATTCTGACTAATAACAAAAGAGAGGAAGTTTTCTTATCATAATAATATCAGATAACAAATATGGCATGAATTCTATATCTTAGATAAGGTAAGACCACAAAAACGATAGAGTATCACTCATCGTCGAATAATTAAAACCGAGTCATCGTTTAGATATAGAGTCATATGACAATAATGAAAGCTGAGTCAGAACCAAGGTCAACAAAGGAAAGC